GGGAGAGCCTAGACCCAGCCCTGGTGTCAGGCGGTCGCCATACGAGATCCTGTGAAGCACAGCGCGCGTCACTCGGCCCCATCCACACATGCGTGAGGAATTTTGTGCGACGTTGTATTGCAGCATTTGCCAGGATAACGCTGCCAGGGGCACGTTCGTCAGGGTAATTGACCGCTCAGTTTCAGAATCAGTCACTAGACGGATTCGCGCGTGAACGAAAGGTGTCATCAGCACACAATTTATTGATAGCAATGCAGTCAAATGGTGCAAGGGCAACCCGTGACACTTGTTACGCGCAATAAAAGGTCGATGGTCCGCAGCAGTTACTACGAGCCCAAGAAATCGGTAGTCGGATGGTGGTGAAGCGGTTCAGAACGACGAGTGATAGAGAAATACAAACCGCGTGATTGGAACAGGTCAAAAAATATTCACCGCTTCCAGTGACTCCGAGTCAGGCTGAATCACCAGACGAAATCCTAACATGAATTGGTGAATACTGTGGCTGATTCTAAGTACCATGACCTAATCGCCTCCTCGGCTAAACGTAATCGCCACGAGGTGCGCTAGCTTACAAGTAACACATACAAGCCGAGTGAAACAAGATTGACACATGTCTGAATCTATCCATCCGGGCTGGTGTAACGTTAATAGTACCCACACTGCTTCCATATTTCACACTAAACAAACGAATGAGTTCCAGTCAATGCTGCTGTAATTTAAATTACTGTAGTATTACTTGTTGGGGGCTGGCTGGCAAGGTGTGCGTTTGGGGGGAAGGAGGGGGGGGGGGGGGAGCAGCATGTTGAGGACGTATACGGTCCTACGCCCATAGCCATGTCAGGGCAGTGCCCCGGCCGATTCCGCTGCCTTGGCATCGGATTATCCTAGCCGGTTTTCCGCTGACGCTATAACCGGTCTTCCCACCACACCGGCACGAGTTGGCTGATGAATTCCTGTCGCGTCTTAAGAATCCGGTCACCGAACACTGAGCAGGACTGCCTGTTGCTCTGGCGTCTTCACCCTGGAGAAAGACGATAGAGCTGCCGCTGAGCACCGCACAACGCACGTCCATAGTCATTGCCGTGAGTGAACCGACAATGCTGTCGTGCACTGTTTTACCTGTCATGACTGTTGCACAATCGAGTGCCAGGTGCATAGGATTCAGTTACAAGTTTGACGCCAGGGCGTGGGCTTGGCATGACTCCCCCAAATCCATGCTCTTTTAGCATGACATAAGTTTGACGCCCAGGGGTGTCAATCTTTGTGAATTATTGGGGGGCCGAACCGCAGGCCCGACAACCTACCCCCCTCCCTACCCATCTTTTCTGACCGGGTTTAGCTCCCTTTACTTTGATTAAAGCAACATGTGTTTGTAATCTTTGTATGATTTACAAGTATTTGATTTCAGCAGCATGGAGGTCATTCAGGGTGGGATGCAGGCAGCAGGCAATGAACGCACGCGTCGCTTCTGATCGGCACGTGGAGGCGCCTCTTTAGAGGCCACCTTAGGGCGCCGATGGCGCTCTTCTACGACGGTCATGAGAGGCGGCACGCATCTTGGTTGTGGGGTACGGGGACGGGGTTAGCCATGAATGACTTGGATCATCCCCATATTCCAGAGCTTTTCACTTTAACCTCACAAGCCATTGCGCATCTTATGGCGCTAGGTATGTGCACTTGCCTACATCGTTATCCAGCGAAACAGAAAAGGTCGAAGAAAATAGTCTTTGTATTATGATCATCATTTACCCGCATTTTTGTAATATTCCGGCCAAAAACATTGTAGGGGGCAAGCCAACATTGGGGGGGGGGGCAACTCATTTGGAGGGGGGGGGGGCAGTGCCCTCACAAAAGAATACAATTCGAACCCGTGTTGATGCCAGGGTTGGGCATGAAACGCAGCTAGCATATAAAACCGACTCCGGAATATCTAGGCTGGTTCCGGAGTGATAAATTGGTGAAAGAACGAGAGGGACGTAATGCAATTATTCAGACTCGTAAGATGCAGGGAATCGCCCCGGCTGTCCAATGTCTTAAACTTTAGAGCAGTTTCCCTGTTTCACTAACGGAGACGCGCTCCTCCATGGCAATGCCGCTCTCCCCGCTCAGATGCCGACTGAAAGCCACCAAGTGAGCCGTTCCTTATCGTGCCGCGGCGAGTTGTCACCGCTTGCCCCTGACCATCGCTATGTCCTCATCTGCTGACTGCTGAGCAGGCGTGCAGACAGAGCCTTGGCGAGGGGGCACAAGGTTAACAAAAGGCCCCTGACAGTAAAGGGCTTCCCAAAATCGCCGGGTATAGCCCATTTGTTCCTGACGGCATGTTTGTCGTTGATAATAGGCATTTATGTACATAAATTCATAATTAGTATACATATATATATATATATATATATATATACACATATATATGCCTCTCTCTCCCTCTCTCTCTTTCTTTCTTTCTTTCTTTCTTTCTTTCTTTCTTTCTTTCTCTCTCTCTCTCTCTCTCTCTCTCTCTCTCTCTCTCTCTCTCTCTCTCTCTCTCTCTCTCTCTCTCTCTCTCTCTCTCTCTCTCTCTCTCTCTTTCTCTACCTGTTTTTTCTATGGAAAAGACGCCAGACGCTAACAGTGAGATAAATTCGGCACAACGTTTTTAATCAATAAAGTGAAAAGGTCATACGTGAAGCGAACGCATGAAATCAATCGCTGGCACTCTTCATTTTACAATGGCCCATTGGACTCCTCTTAAACCAACAGAACCCGAAAACCTTGTCAGAATTGTTATACCGGTTATTCAGAAATATTAATGGCTCGCGAATATTCATTGAACATCAAAATGGGTCAACAATCTATACCGACATAGCCAAGCCATGTTTGTCTGAAATTGTTCAACATTCAGTCAAAATCGATGAGCATACAAACTATATAGTATGAACATACAAACTATATAGTATGAGCATACAAACTATATACATATAGCTATATAGTTTTGAGCATGCACGTCCGCATATATTAGCAACAAAAACCTTGACGCCAGACGTTGCAACCTCCGCAGCAGGCCTATTGCTAACCGCGCAGCGTCGGCCCCGCGGCTAACACCAGGCCGTGGCCAACAGGCAGACGAAAATGATGACCTTTTAGAAAGAAGTACCTTTGAACGCTTTAGGCCATGAAATCGTCCATTTAGAGATCTTCCGGGCGTATATTTCACCTGTCCGATTCTTGGATTGATGATAATATCGGATTGGTCTTCACAGCACCGCTAAGTAGTGCTGGAACCAGGTGGTCAAACTGGAACAATTAAGATAGCATCTCTATTTTTCGCGTGCCGGAACTGATTGTCGCGCGCTGTAACTGACCTGTCCAGAAGGCAACATCGAAGTTGTAGAATTTCTCACCGGACGTCAAGTGGTGGTGGAGTCAAATGGAGGACGCGAATTACAAAATTGAGCCACAGTACTGAAATGGTCTGAGCTTCGAGTTAGATTGGCGTTTTCGTGCTGTCAAGTGTTAGCGGTCCAGATCCAGCTTTGCAGGCCCAGTAATGTGATACACACTCAAATTTGTTCAATAAGAGCTTTTCAATGTACTTCTTTTAACAGATTAAACAAATATTCAACTGGCCTGTCAGTCTTGCGCCTGAAACAGCTCTTACGCATGTTTGTTGGCGTTGCCATGTAGGCCTACATAGTCCTGGGCAGTGATATACGCAGTCCGAGACGGTACATACAAACGAGGTCGTTTGAAAGCTACAGCAATCAAAATACTCAGGAAGGACAGCGACGCTGCTAGATTCATATATATTCGCAATGGGATGTTTCTCCGTCATTTTAACGTAGGGGCGCGGGGAACTTTCAGAAGCAAATGCAGTAAACATGTATTTTTTTATTTTAGAAATGCGAAAAGAAACTAACTGCGATTTTTTTTTGCAAAATTACACTTCCGTATCATTTCAAAGAACAGGTATCTCATTTTGGCCAAATTTCACCTGGCGGGCCAACTGAACATTAAACGGAGAGCACCTCGACATTGGGTTGCCGTGGCCCCGAGCAGACGCACAATGTTTCACCTCGCGCTGCGAGAAGTGTGGCAATGGCACTGAGCTGCCGAAGTGACCAGGGCTGGCTCTGGCGTGCACAGTGCAAAAAGCTTCCTATCGAGCGGATGTACGCGTAGTGTGGTCGCTTCGCTTTTTATATCCCGTTGTAATAAGTGTGTCAAATACGTTAACCGTTACGTGGACTTGCGCTTTGAATCGCTTAGTTTTCATTTCTCATTCTGGGTCTCTTTGAAGCAGCAGGAGACGAACCCCTCGTACTGAAAATTGTGGGCCACACATCTCGCATGTCCCCACGGCGTCATCACCCCTGGTGGCGGCGCTTCTCAAAGGTGCGCTCGGCACGGGGCGGAACGAGGCGGGATGTTTAGTGGCCGACAAGACCCAAGGGTGTCCACACCGTGGCGGGAGGGGAGGAGGTTCCCTCAACAACTGCAAAGGTGCATGTGGGCTGTGAATTTATGGCGAAGTCTGAGACTGCATGAAAACTGAAAGGACGTTCCAAACTGCTGGGGCAGAATGTCCCTCCCCCGAATACTCATTGAACGGAGATCTGAACCCCATTCTTCATAAGTCAGTTGAAGCGCAATCCTTACTTCTTGGAAGCCCCTTCCTTTGTTACCTATGACGTCACGACCCAAGTTTATTCCTTTCTCGACCGAGCGGCGGAGTAAGTGTGTTTGTTTGCTAGTAGATTGTGGGTGCTGACATAGCGACGCACAACAACAGTCGATGCGTTGTTGACGGTCTGTTAAGTCCGACAAACAGGCAGCTCTTAATGTCGTGTTGAAAGTGCAATCGATAATGATGTATTTAGCTACAGACCGCTTACCAATTACTGTTATTCGAATAAGATTTAAGGGTGCCATTCCTGTGCGCTTTATGCATCCATGAGTCGGATCAGCTGATCATAATTGTGCCCATATTCGGAATTAAAGGCATTCCCCACTGGCGTGTATCTATGGCACCAACTGAGTTGGTGGAACTCGGGCTACAAGTCAGTAAGGAGCTGGGTCCAGATGTGTAATGCAGCGGGAGCAGCAGGCTCGCACGTAGTCTGGTGTGTGACCTTGACCCGAACGGTCGTGAGCGCGCGGGCTCAGGACCCTGAACCGGGCCCCATGCTACATGCCCCATCAGGGTCAGAGTGCGGGCACGAGTCAGAGTGTAGTCTTCTGCTGAACAGCGAAGGACAGGAATCGTCGTTCTGGTGTTGCGTGGTGAGTTGGACCGTGAAGCGGATGTCATTTACCTTTTTGTAGAAGTCCAGGCCGAGGGAAAGGATGTAAGACGCTCTCCCGCGGTCGGGTGAGCGATCGTGTGTGCCCGCTGCCCGCCTTCATGTGCCTATTCGAACCGGGTCAGACGGGGTCTGGACAAATCATAGAACGGATCTGAGATTATTGGATGTGGACTGTGCCTCACAAAATACCTACTGCACTCCAGAACTAAGACTCAATCGAATACAAAATCAATGATGGCTTAGTGATAAATGATTTTTTTGTTAGCCTTGCTAGACTGGAAAGCAAGTCCAGGTCCATCGCTGGTATAAATGCTTCTTGATTTCGTTTTTAAAACTTGGTTTTATGTACATTCTATGCGTCCTAAATGTTACAAGAAGGTCCAGGTCGTCATCACGGCCATTTTCCATAGCGTCTGTCTGGACCAGTTTACAAGATGTGGAACACTCCGACGATTAGAGACATACATGGATAACTCATCTTGTGGTTGCGAAAGAGATGAGCCAAGACATGCCAGAAAAATTCGATTTGTATTAAGCCGTGTTTTGTCTTGTCCAACGGCTAAGTTTACAACAACGATGTCAGCTCGTAACCTATGACATTCATATATTATAAGCGAGTCACTACATGATTCGCAAAAACGGATAAAATCAGTCAACATGCGGTCAATATGCATGACGAAACGACCTTGCCTCTAGGAACGGATGTCGAACAACTTTAACAAGAACTTGGATAGGCAGTAGCATTAGTTTTATTCCTCGGAGAAAAACCAGGAAAATGGAAATATAGTTGGGTTGATATTTCGGCAAGATGCCTTTATGAAAACAATAGCAGAAGTATCGTCTTCTGCTGTTGTTTTCATATATACTTTATACTTATACTTAATATACATATATTTTCATTTGCTTATACTTTCATATACTTCATACTTTCATACTTACATACTTTTCATACTTCATGACGTAGGCTATGGACGGCCCATCATGTCAGGGAGGATCGACCACTGTTTCATCTCAGCGGGTCTATTGTCGTGGGTACGCAACATTTTCAAGCACTACTTACGACTATCTCAATCCCTACTGATTTTGACCGGATGCTTCTTGACCCATCCATAGATCACAGTATTGGACGCATGATGTAACACTGATCAGTCGACTACGGGAAAGCTGGCTTTTCTCCTGACACCACCACTGGTTCCCTGCAGGACAGCGGCCGCCATGGCGCTGGGCCCGACCGAGGTGCAGGTGCTGGTGACGCTGGCCCAGCTGCTGCAGACAGCGGTGTTGCCGCCCGGCCAACTCAGCTGCGGGGTGCGGCACGAGCGCGGCCTGTCCGGCATCTGCGACCCGACCGACGGACAGCTGCGGGAGACTTTCTTGAACCAAACGACGGTGGGTTGGTTCGGCGAGTTCCCGTGGCTGGCGTCGGTGCGCGGCACGCCGGCGACGCGCACCGACTCGCCGCTGCCCCTCTGCGGCGGTGCACTCGTGCACCCGATCGCTGTGCTCACCTCGGCCGCCTGCTACCAGCTGGCGGCGCAGCGCAGCTACAGGGTGACAGTGCGACTGGCGGAGTTTCGCGTCACCACGGACGTGGACTTCGGACGGCCGGCGTCCGAGCACCGGATTGCTCGCGCCGTCTACCACCCAGACTTTCAGCTCACTGGCGGGAACGAGGTCGTGAACGACGTGGTTCTGTTGCTGCTGGAGCGGCCGGCGGCGCTGGACGGCGCCGTGGGGCTGATCTGCCTGCCGGACGGCTCGCTGTCGGCTGACCAGGAGGCGGCCAGCTGGAAGCGCGGCGACTGCGTGCTGCACGGCTGGTCCAACCCGCGCAAGGACGCACTGGACGCCGTGCTGCACGAGCCCGTCCACTTCCTGTCCACTTCGACGTGCCAGGCCGCTCTGCGTCGGACGCGGTCGCTACACCCCAGCTTCGCGTGCGGCCAAAGCGTGGCCGCAGAGTGCTGGGCGGACGTCGGCTCTGTGATGGCGTGTCGCGATCCGCGCGACAGGTCCCGCTGGGCTCTGGCCGGCATGGTGCCGTGGTCTCACCAGCACAGCCCGTGTGGACAGGTCTCCCGCTACACCAACATCGGCAGGTACTCCGGCTGGATCAAGGACACCATAGCTGCACACCTCAGCGCGCAGACCTGACGGCCCGCTGAAGTCGGAAGGCTCTGTTCGAGATGTGGAAGTCGTCGGACCGTGTCCTGACGGTTGCCTCGCCCCGACGACCTATGGCGGCTCAGTTCGTCAGCACCGGTTTGCTCTCCCTCTCTCTCTCTCTCTCTCTCTCGCTCTCTCTTTCTCTCTCTCACTCTCACATAACAGGACAACACGCACTGGTTCTCTGTGGTGCTCGCTGTTGCGGAGGTTTTCAAGGCTAAATATTTTCTAAGCTTCCACACAACGTCTTTTATTATACAGCTAAAGATTTAACGCATTGGCAACTAGATAAGTGAATACCATACAAACATAATCGTTTTTCCATGCCTTCATCTTACATACCATTTCTTTACAAACATTTTCTTTGATCCAAGTTCATTGCAACATGCAGAATGCATGCATCCTCATTGCAACATGCGCAGTTAATCAAAAGGGAAATTGTCACTCGCTACAATGCTGAATGTACAATTGGTGATGCTTGATGTAAGCCATATGCACTGTAATGTGATAATTTGTCATGGAGACTTTTCATTGCGCGGCTGGTATTGCGTCATATTAAAGAATCCTGAAGTGGAAACGATACAATTTTCAAGTATATAGACACATAACCTCATATTGTGTGGTGTCATATTGGCAAGTACCATTTGCGCATAAATGCCGTTGTTCGGAACGAATGGTTTTCATGTGATGGGCTGATAATTTTTTTTTTGTTTTTTTGACGGTCGGTCTTAAGCGACGAGGCAAAGAGCCTGCCAAGAAAGGATCTTCACATGAGCACAAAGATTGATTCATCTGCAAATAATTCTGCAAGGAGCATGGTATAAAGAATGTTCAGGAAACAGGGATGCAGGAAGGAACAGGTGCGTTAAGTAAATGTCACACCTGTAAATCCAAAATTACATGGTCAGTCAACTTATACTGGCATTTGTTGTTATAAGCATTGATTCAAACTAAAAGACCATGTTGACGCCATGTGTGCGTATCTAGTGCTTAAGTATGTCTAATTGCACAGCATGCAATTATGTCGAACAGTAAAAACTTTTATGTTCATAAAGTTGTTGGCGCGTGCAGACTCCAAGAACTTCCAATTGCTGCATTTGCCATGCGCAGTCTCTCTGAAAATTTAATGACACCTGGTTTTCTTCCACCTTACCTTGCGCTTGCCTATCTGCCAGGGGTATACCAGTTTTGTTGTCCAACCCCTGAAAACTTTTGGTTTATGCCAAAATGCTGCACCACCATTAACATGTTTCTATGGTATTGCAGTGGAGGGCAAATAGTAAATGTTGTAATATTTTGAATACCAGGGATTCGTTAGTACTGAGATGTTATTCCTTTAAATCAGCACCCGCAAGCAGGGAATCTACAATCTGATAGACACTTTCAACCAATAATAAACCTGCTTAACACTCTGACAAACATTTTAGCTTAATCATTGCCTTATTTCGCTCGCTTGGAACATGAAATATCGGGTTTTACGTTGCCATTACGTTTTATTGGAGCTGTCGTCACTGATACGTTACTAGGGAAAATGTGCCTAGCTGTCAATGTTGGTTTCTGGCTCCCACTTCTCCTCATGAAAACGAGGCCCTAGATATCTGGTTTGACTGGCTCTTTCTTAGTTACTACCCCGTGGTTTCTGAAGCCCATTGGTTATTTTGCAAACACCTGGCCTGGGCTCCCGGTTTTCACTTTTTAAATTTAAACGTGAGTGCTCTTGCTTCTAATTAGTTCGTCTTCACAAACACCTGACCCTCTTTTCTTGCTTTCATTAATTCACTCACAAAATGTTTGATCCCGCCTTCTGTTGTGCATAACGCATGCTCATCAAGTTAATACGCATTGGTTTCTAGCATCAATTCCAGGAAAGAACCTGGCTCTCGTTGGTGCCTTCGACTTTTCGCCGCGTCCTGGTTCTTGCTAGATCTCCGCTATTTCTAGGCTGGCTCTGGGTTCTGGTGGGATCTCTGCCCGCATTCTTGGCTAAATATTTGCTCTTGCCGGGTCTATCTGCATGATTCTAAACTGAGGCTTGGCTCTTGTTGGGCTCGTTTGCACACTTCAGGACAGGCCTTGGTTCTTGCCGGATGTGACAGCTTGGCTTGGTACCGTCCACCCCGGCACACAGTAGCTGCCCGACAAGACGACTTCACGGACCTCGAGACCCAGCTGCGGGGCGTACTGATTGACCACCCGGGAGTCCCGCTCTTATCTGTGGTGAGATGAACTGTGGCTTGCTTAAGGGCCACAGTGATCCAGCGCGGTTGGTGATTTTTTTTTTGTCAGCCGAGGACCACTGCGCGCAGCTACACCGCGCAGTGGTCCAGTGGTTTTCGAATTTTTGAGAGACCACTCTCTTGACCAGCTTCTGACCGCACCGACTCTGCTCACTGGTTCTCTGAGATATGTGTATCGTTCAGAACCGCGACCGTGACGTCTTGCGCAGATGCAGTGCAAACTCGTCATTCTAGATCGCATGAAGTCAAGCGAATGTTCTGAAACCTCGATTTACGCCTCCTGTTGTTCAGTGCCGCTGCCTGAAACACATTGTCATCGCTTCTTCAAACCACAACCTTCGTTTAGTGATGGGGGTGGGGTGGGGTGGGGAGATTCTCTTCCTCGATATGGCCAGTGGACCGCATTTTTGCACGTTTTTACCTACTGTTAACGCTCATGCCCCGCTCAAGAAACCAACTTCTCGCAACCGCACTGCCCCTCCCACTTGCACCGCCCCACGTGGTCCCATGGCCCGCCCCTGGCCGCTTTGGCACGCTCAGGGAGACACTCGTGCGAGTAGCGTGAGCCGAGCCGTGCCGTCCGATCCCCTCGGCAGCGATCGGCATTGGGAGATCCGGAGGGCGGGAACCGGGCCGGAGCAGGAGCAACGAGCAGGAACCGGGTAAAGCGTGGCGCGCATGAGCTGGAAAGAGCAACGGGCAGTTTATCCGACTAGGCGCGACAGCTGATCAGCTGAATGGGTGTTTTTTTTGCGTCAGTTGGCTCTCATGTGGCCGCCGAAGTAGAGGCGGGAGGCGCAGTCCTTGGATTAAGCGGCACGTCTCCCTCAAGTCGGGGCTTGCCCGCGCGGGGTTTCGCTTGTTGCTCGGGGGATTTTCGGACGCACGGTCTTCGGCACGTGGAGCTCGGCGACCGGTGGTTCAGACCGCATGTGTGCCCGCATGCTGAAGGCTGTTTTCTTTTTAGCTATCGATGACGTCATCCTTGACGTTGTCAACTCCTGCCTTACCCATTCAGATATCCCCGGCTCTTGGAAACGTTTCCTGGCCCATTCCATTTTCAACGTCGGTAACCCATCTGACCCATCCAATTTCTGTCCTCCATTCCTCTTTCCCGTCATCACCAAAGTGGGCGAGCGAGTCGTCCAACGGCAGCTTTACTACTTCCCATCTACAACCATCTCCCTGCATACTTCCAGCATGGTCTCCGTCCTCGTCTCTCGACGGAAACCGCGCTAGTGTCGGTCTCCGACCACATTCTTGGCGTCACCGGTTGGGGAGATCACGCTGCGGTACATTGTTTGCTCAAGTAAATGTTTCGACGTCATTGATCACCAGGTCTTGATTCAGAAAGTGTATGCACAGCATTGGGATTTCCTGGTCCGGCATCTATATTTAGGGGCACTCCCAGAGAGTGTGTCTGAATGATGGGTCTGGAGGCAGGGTGCTGTCACAGTCGCTTGCCAACAATATGGGTGTCTTCCAAGGATCAATATAAGGCCCACTTCTACTCACAGTCTTTGGAATGATCTGTCTTTGTATGCAAAAGAGACACGTGTTTTCAATATGAAGATGACAGCCAGGTTTTGGTGAGCGGTCTGAGGGACGACCTTAGGAGACTCATATGCCGCATGGAGGCACCGCTTACGCGCTGAGCTGCTGGTTCCGTGGGCATGCCCTTTAGGTGAACGCAAGAAAAACCCCCAACCAAATCCAACCAACCAAACCAAACCAATCACAAAAATGATAGGTTGCAAAACGCAACTCATCACTTTCGGCAACCGGCAAACTTTACGTGCTCTTCCGGACTTAACCGGAACTTTTGTTGACGCTGCACCGCGACCGTGTGCGGAGGTGAAGAACTCGGTCGTCGTCTTTACGGCGCCCTGTCCCGGGATTCACACACGTCCGAGCTCAGTCGCCGGTTTATGGGCGTGCTGACAGGCCTGTCCCGCGCGCTGCACTGGCTTCCGGATAGCGTCATCATAACTCTAGTGGCAGCGCTGGTGCTCAAGTAGATCACATGCCATCTCGCGGGTTAAGGGCACCAAAAATCAGTAGAGTCCAAAAGTCCCTAAACTTTGCCACCAGAGGAATTTTGGCTAGCGTAGATTTGACCATGTGTCTGACCTGCATGAGACACTTCGATGGGCGTCATCTTGACGCATGGCAGAGTTTCAAATGGTCACCCTGGCTGATAAAGTAATGCTGTACGGCGAGCCTGATATGCTGAGGGCCATGTTTGTGTTAAACCGCGACACACGTGCCCGACCACTCCGCAGGACAGACTCCTGCACCTTCCTAGGCTGAGAGCCAAGGCCGGTAGGAGACGTTTTGGGTACCACACGCCAGCATTGTAAAATGCACAACCAGCGGACGCCGTGCAACTAATACAGAAGCGCTTCGTAGACACGGCGAGAGCACTCCTTTTTGAGTGCTAATGATATTGGTAGCCGGTGAATGGGTGTCTGTGTGGTACATATTTTGCTTTTTACCTGCATGTTCTTATCTCCTGTACCTCTCCGCGGGCTGCAATAACCAACTCCTTTGAGTACAGCCCTGTGAAAGCAACAACGCAATACAATACAACCCTGTCTTAGCAAATCTTTTAACGACGCTTCAGTTTCACAATCCGTTAGCTGTTCGGCAGCCAGCCCTCCGAGCTTTCCACGAGATCAGTTGCGTGGTTGCTTCGTCTCCTGCCTGTCACTACCCGCGCACAGAAAGTTACGGGCTTCTGCGCGCGATGCACTTAAGTATCGCTTCAGAAGCCGTGTGCAGACATGACAGCACCAACGCTTTCACAATGTTTTTTAGAGTCGTGTTTGGGATCACGTGTCACACATGAGGCAACGCTTTCAGTATTCCAGTGCATTTGTAAGTCATTGTGTCGACATAGGCTTGGAAGCTGAGGTGACGGTTAGTGGTGACTACGACATTTCTGACTGATCTGGAGCTGGGGACTTCGGCACCACAGAAGACCAGGGTGACTGGCGGCAAGTTTCCACGGCGCCATTCGAACGCTGATCGCTAACATCTGGGTCTTAAGTCTGTTACGTTTCACGCCGTTGCGGCAAGACGATTGGTGGGTGGTAGGCTAAGCGCTCGCTCCATCCCGGCGATGAGCTGCTTCAAGGGTCATTCATTCCCCTGACGAGAATCCGCCTTTTGTACGTGATTTGGATGACAGTGACGTCATCAGAGACGTAAAAGCTCAAATTGTAGGCGAACAGCATGAGTCAGGTGCTGCTCAGGGCGCGACCCTGAAAAGCTTCATTTGGTTGTTTGTCGGTCTGAACAAAAGGGGTGAGTCATTAGCTCCACGCACTTGAACCTGCTGCGGATGCCAAATGAACCAAATCTCATCAATATTGCACGAACCGATTTTCAAATAGTTTGTCATGATGAAATACATCGAACCATTTCATAGGTCTAACAAGACAAGAAGAGGCAGATTGCTTTCTTTAGCTAGTAGTGCTTTGACTATGATGGTGTGAAGCTCTGATTCCGTGGAAGACGTTTAAGTTATCCGTGCTCAGTACCAAACAATTTTGTAGTTTTCGATTTAGAGCCGAATTTAGGGTCCCGAACAGGCCCGGCCAGAGGTCGTATTCAGGTGCCTGGCCAGCAAGGCCAGGCACTCCAATGCCAGTTAGAGGGCCCTACGCACTGATCAGGGCCCCTGAGTCGATAAAGGCCCGGTCTGGCCGGCCAGAGGTCGTATTCAGGTGCCTGGCCAGCAAGGCCAGGCACTCCAATGCCAGTTATAGGGCCCTAGGCACTGATCAGGGCCCCTGAGTCGATAAAGGCCCATATGTCGGTAGACACCACTAAAAAAGCACAGTCGCCTCCGTGGCGGCATGGACCTGAGGGTCCATTCCCCAAGCAGAGGCAAAGCAGGAGCCAGTGATTTACATTGGTCGGGGGCCCCATCGTCTGTAAGAGCCACACAGCAAATCACAGGAGGCCCTGTGTTGGTTTGCAAGGGCCCCGAGCCCGTCGAAGACAGTGTTCGAGGAGGCCCGAAGAGCCTGGAACCCCACCGAGACCGACAATCAAGGGCCCGATTGGAGGACTTAGGGGAACGAAGGGCTGATCGGAGTCTTATCCGGCCTGTGGGGACGGATACTCAAATGACAGTCAGAACGAAACCGATCGGGGATCCCCTGTATCGATATGGGCCTATGTGTCGGTCAGGCATCAACAGTATCGCACAGTCCGCTCCGTGTCAGCATAGGCCTTGGGTCTAAGGGCCCACCTCCCAATCAGCTACAAATACAGGCGATTTACACTGGTCGGGGCGTGTCTGTCAGGGACCCAAAGTGCCTGACAGAGGGCTCTGTGTTCTCAAGGCCTCTCGGTCAGACCAATGGCAGTGTTCAATGTGACCCGAGGAGGCGCCTGGGCGGCCATCCGAAAGCGACGATCAATGGTTCTGTTAAAGGACATAAGGGCCCGGGGGATCGGCTGTAGGTCACGTACAGAATCGCATCCCGTGTGTTTTTGGCCTTAAATATCCGTCAGAGGTCCCTTTGTACCGTTTGAGGACCATCTGAGACCATGCGAGTGTCTCAGTCGGTCAGAGACCACGAACACCGAAAAGTCGGCTCGCTGTCAGTTTGAGCACTGGGGCTCATTTCCTGGGTAGGAACAAGGCCGTGGACCGCGATTTGAATTGGTTTGGATTCCTGAAACAATGGTTGAGGCCACTGTGCCGGTCAGGGGCCGACAGTGCATAGCAGGGGATCAGGTGTCGGCTAGTGGCCCCGAGTCAGTCACAGGCTTTGTTTGAGGAGGTTCGAAGAGGGGCCGAATGGCCCTAGAAACAAAAAAAACAAGGGGTCGATGGAAAGTATCATTGTCCTTTTGATTGGGGGTCAATGACCCGAAATACTGGCCGTAGGTCATATTGAGGATACCCTCCCGCCCGCAAGGCCGTGACCTCAAATATCGGTCAGAGGGCCTCCTGCATCGATTGAGAACCTCTGGGATACTGCGGGCTTCTATTTCGGTGGGATGCCACCAACACCGAAAAGTCGGCTACGTGTCGGTCTGAGCCCTGGTGGCCCATTTCCCAAACACGAACAAGGCCGAGCACGCGATTTACACGAGTCAGGGTCGCTGAAACCATGAGGGTGTCGGCCAGGGGCCCACAGTGCCTCACAGGGGATCCTGCGTCGGCAATTGGCCCGAGCTGCCACAAGCCGTATTTGCGGCGGCCCGAAGAAGGGTCCAAAGGGATCATTAGGCCAAAGATCAAGGACCCTATTGGACTCGTGGCCCGGTTTTCATTAGTAATGCTGTGACCTGAAATGTCAGCCAGAGGGCTGCTATAATGACCCTCTTATTAAGATTCTCTATCTGTACTATAAAGGGCCTCTACACAGGGTCAGACAGTCGGCTCCATGTCCGTCCGAGCCCCTGCGACCCATTCCCCAAGCAGAAACGAGGCCAGGGCCCGCGATTTGCAATGTTCTTGGTTCCTGACGCAATGAGGGGCTCCTGCGTCGGTCGGGAGCCGCAGTGCCTGACAGGGTCTAGTGCTCTTCTCAAGGGGCCTTTGCCGGAAACAAGAGCCCCATTGGTGTAGATAGGAGAGGATCGAAATGACCTCGAAAACGAACAAGACCATGCCATGTTGGCCTGAGAACGTTCATTCTTTTGCAAAATCGCTCAGTAAAACAAATTACATCAAAAGGTTTGAGCCCGAAAGATTGGGAGCAAGGACAGCGATGGTGTGGTGTTAAGTGTCCGTAGAACCGAGCGGTGTTGGCGGCTGCAAGTAACACCAGGCGGTGGGCGCTGTGTACGTGAGCACGACCGCCGTGAAATAATAGTTTTGAATGTCTTTCAAAATTAATAATACCGTTCAAAGATTAGCCTTGACGTGTCTTTTACAACTTTGAGGTTGTCCTCTGAACCTATGAACAACTATAGCAACACGAAAAATAAAGATTCGACCATTACTCCTCGAGCTCCCCCAATAGGTTCCAGCACAGCTTCGCTGTGCTGTAGAACCAAATATTTTCATCATCAATCTAAAATGACACCAGTGAAACATATCCCAGGACTGCTTTTTAATTGCTCGATTTGGTGTCCTCAAAGGTTCCGAGATATTTGGTTTAGATACGTTATCATTTCCACTCTTCTGTTGACCACGACTAGACCACAGGACCGACGCCGTGCGGCCCACGGAGACTGCAACGCCTGGTGTCGAGGTTTTTGTTGGTTGGATTTGTTAGCGCGCATGTTGAAAGCAGCATTACATGGTTTGCATCACCAGCTGATCTTGACTAAAGATTGAACATTTCCAGACAAACATGGCCTGGTTACGTTAATGCAAACTGCTGACGCATTTTGATTTATAATCTACATCCGCGGGGTTCCCTAATATCTCTGCAGACCCATTTTAAAAATGCTGACGAAGGTTCTGAGTTATTTCGGTTTAGAAAAAGTCCACTAGACTATTTCAAAATGGAGGGCACCGGTGATTGATTTCAAAGATATTTTAACGCATGCTTTCTTGGGTTAACTGACTACAAAATTCAGGCAGAGTTCGTCTAGCGGTATCTTCTGCCTTCTGTTCCAATAAAAAACGAAAAAAAAAATGTCAAGGAAAAACGTGCCCTTGTTAACAAATGGGCCATACACGGCGATCTTTTTGGAGCCATTTCACTACCGGGGGGCCGTTCTCAAACCTGCGCCCCCCTCCCCTCGCCAAGGCTCTGACTGTGTGTCTGCCCTCGAAGCTAGTAAAGGTGGTCGTTCACTTGATGGAAGGATTGCACGCAACTTGACCATATCAATCGGTTGCACCTTAAGGAGGATGTTCCACATTTGAAGATATTGAAGGAAGCATCAGATCTGATGGCATAAGCTGGCTTATAACAGCTGATATGCTTTTGAGCGAAAGCGACTGCTCTATACAATAAGTTTGTCTGTTTAGTAAATGTGCTCCTCAGCATGCCATTGTTTGATACACTATCGCACCTTGCACAACATCGATTGAAAGCCAACTGACGACCGCTTTGTCTGGAAATCGTGTTCACGAACGCCAGATGTGGACGACTCATCAAATATATTTCTATTGGCTTTGATCGCCAGATGGCTTATTGAATGACAGAATTTGTGTGACGTTATTATGGCGTCACGGACCCTGAGTGATTGCGATTGCCCTTGAACTGCGCCGAATGATCTTCAAGATGGCCATTGCAGTTCAAAACCCCAGCAGATGTGGTATGCCCTCTTTACAGGAGCTTGACGTTGCACGGGGCAGGCGCGTCGGCGCTCACGCTGCCGCAGCCGGCACGCAGCCAGCTGCAGTAGGGCTTATTGCGACATAATGGGGCATTTGGCATGATGGTGGGCGCTTCACACCGCCGCTGTTTATGGCCTGCCGCGGGCTGGAGCACTCGCCACAAGCTGCTGCGGTCGCCTGGGGCTATCTCCCGCTTGTGGAGCGCCCGCCAGCCGTTGCGGACGGCGGCGCGACACAGCCGGGTCACGTGCGTGTGCCGGGGCTACTATTTCTTACTGTTGCAGGAGCATTCACTGGAATGTGCGCCACTTCATGTCAGAAGGATGAACCTTTAAGACCGGCGCCCAGTCTGGAACAGTTGGCGGTTAAACGCATCAGCCCCAAAATTGTCACTGTAGCGACGCAGGGTATGAGAACATGCGGATGCTCCGTGCCCACCGAGGTGCATAGTGACGCGCGTGAGATCGTGCGGGTCGCCGTAAGGACACCTCGTCACTCCGACCCTGCGCACCAGAGCGGGACGGTTTGTAAGGATTACACAGAGCAGACTTCGTTGGGTGAAAGGTGGAATGAACGTTGTTAATCGCATGCATATCGCACATGACGAATAGTCGGAGCAGCATATTATCCCAAAGCTCCCACACTACTGCATTCTGGGAAGGCGATGTGACGTCATCACGAGACGAAATCGTGTGGTACCAGCGCTGCTCTTTGCGGACCGGTTTATACACAAATACCTCCGGACTAGGAACCGGACTTTTTCGACCAAGCACATCCCATGAAACACTTTCAGCTGGGAGATGGTATTGGTTTGCACCAGACCGACAAAAATAGTGCTGAAACGCGCTTCCAACCTGCCGCCGACAGAGATGGGGTAACCCACTCGCCAGTGATTTATTCCGAAGAGCTCTAGCCGGAGCGCTTAGAAACAGCCTGTGTAAAAGAGTACAACATACAGCAACAATAACATAAGGTGGGATGGGAAACAGTGGGCCAGACGGGCTCGCAGCACCCTGGGATTTGCATTGGGAAGTTGGAATAGACATCATGTAGCCTTAGGAAGGGCGCTGCTAGGATGGATGCAGGGTTGGCATGCCATAATGGAGGTAGTTAGTGGTGAACCCCGCTAGGCGTAAATGCAACGCGCGCCATTTGAATTAAAGATAGCATATTTTCCTGTAAAATCGGACGATTTCTGGCAAGTTTTGCAATTTCTGTCAATCAAAGAGTCGTAGCCAATATCTCAGCTCGGAAAATAGTCTTAGCAATATAGTAAGGCAGTGCGCGTACATTCCCTGCGCACTCTTTTTCACCTGACCTATCCGGCATTATAGATCTGCAATTAGCCAATGCCTCATAGCACAGCAAAAGCGAAAGTCTTGGCACCTGCCCTCCTCACCTTACCTAATCTTTACATTTCACTCCTTAGGGGTCTGCAGTACGAAGGTGTAAATGAACAATCATTACCCATTTTTATATGTAATGCTAGCGTTACCTGTAATGTCTATTTATCCAGTCGCATTGAATACAATAACTACGGTGGGGGTGCTGGAGGTCAAAAACGTGGTTTATAGGATTTATTTTTGGAAGCATGCACTAGTATTGATTTGTCTTAAGACTATTTGAAATCCAAAATGTACAGTATCTATGTAGATACCAGTTATATGAAGATATATAGCAGGATTGTCATCCAGTCAGTTCATTGACGAAAGCTCGGTTTTAATCATGTTACTAGTGTTTACCAACCTTTCCGTAGTATCAATTAAAAACCATACTATGGGCTACTTAATTTTACTCTAGTGGTGACGTCATGTCTGCTTAGCCTTTTACTCCAGAAGCTTTGCTTATCCTTAACGTTTGTCGAGATTTCAACAGTTATTGAGATCCCCAGTAACCACCAGAGCAGGGCGTGGATAACTGAACAGCATGAATAGCAACTGGCATTCTGATCGTCAAAGTCAGCAGTCAACTGGCGGACGGCGTTGTTAAGCACACGATACGTACTCGCCACAATTACTGACTGATGCTTGCTGACACGTACTTACATTCAAACATTCTCCAAGTGTGAGCTGGCGATGCCGATAGTTGGCGTTGGCAGCAACTCGCAATACAGGTGCCCGCGAACTAACACCGCCTCACCACCTCTGCCTCCGGGTAGTTCCAAATCGGCCGGACGGTAGCGCTGGAACAGTTTACAGCCGCGGACGGCCTGCAACCTGTCCGGCACACTGGGCGTGAACCAGCTCTCGCAGAGCCAACATGTCAAACCCATGCACTTGAGATTTGCCGCGGTGGATATTGGGCAGCATGGGCCTAAACGACTGAATGCTTGCCTGCCGCGCTATCAGCCGTTTTTCACCGATCTCACTGTGACGGCATTTAGCGACGAGTTCCGATTTTGATAAAAATGCGTCAGATAGTCAGTTATGGCATTAGACCACCGATTCTGACGCATTCTTTTCAATATTATGTAACCTTTAAGGTGAAATAAAAGTCCATATAACGGGTGTTTCATATCACCAACAATTCACCGGCCGATTTCAGATTTGTAAGCATCAGTTTGTTCGCCAGCGCATAAAATAGAGTAGTTTCAGAGCCCTGACATCTCAAGGATATTTTTGAAAGTCAAATTCAGGCTCAAATGACAGGGAAATTCATATCATCCAAAGGTTAGCCGTTGATTTCGGACTTTTAAGCGCTATAATGTTCACATGGTTGATGCTGAATTCCTGTCAGTTGAGAATGAGCTTGACCTTGAAGAGTGGCATTGAAGGTTGAACTTTTTGGCGGATGCTAGCTCATGCGCTGTTGAATATTCTTACGCTTAAAATCCTTAATCGGTGGGTAACTTTTGGGTCTTATAGAGTCTCCCGTCATTCGCCCTTGAACTTGACCTCAAAGGTTTCGCGACATTGAAAAACAGACGTCACAGCTAGTGTTTTCATGCCACGCATAGGCATCCGACGCGTTATCAACGAAATCAGACCTCGTCGTTAAATCAATACCTGAACAAATCGCTAAGGTCGCGGGTGTGCGACACCTGGACGGGCCTCTGCCGCCTCGATGCGCTCGCGTGTGAATCCACGCAGGTTCCGGATCAGCTGCTGCATGTGTTCGCTGTATCTGGGGGCAACCCGATTCGGCTCCGGTATGTGGTCGCAGCCGTGATCGGAAAGGAGTGAAGTTATGCCGTGGGCAGTCTAAAATTTTGACCCGTTGCATGTGCAAACTTCGCCGCAATCCACGCAGCCGTCTGTGCTACATATCTGCTTGAAAAGAGAGGGCACACAGACATACACACAGACATAGCAGTTCATGCGTCATCACGTGTGGTCGCCGAAAGCAGCCTGTGCTGAGACTACGATAGTGCGATTTTTCCCAGGTGCACACACCACGTCATTTCGACTACCGTCCCGATCGGGGGAGACACTTTTGCTTGCATTGCGATTACCCCACGTGATCGGCTTTCACCGCATCGACGTCAAAACGCTGTACGTGCATGGCATGTATGGCGCATAAAGCATTCACTACGCATTCAAAATTAAAAAAAGAGAGCGGTGATTCGCTTGCAAGCCGCTCAGCCCGCCAGCACTTTTATGCTGCACGCATGCATATACAGTCCGCCGTGCTGTTCGGCGCGTGTCCCCTTTTCACTGCAGCGTGCATTCATTCGTCCGCCACGGAACAAAGCCAGCCAGTGCTGGCCGACCCGTGTTTGCCCGCTGGCATTTTTACCCCTGCGATGATTGCCTGTTTGCAGGGCGGCAGAAAAGGCAGCTGTCTGGGTCGCGACCGTCCGCCATAGCTGAGTGACACGCGAGGCCCTCCAAGCTCCACGGGCGACCCGGGCACGACCAGCGCCAGCACGTGAGCCCAGCCAAGGCCGGCAGCACGTGCACACGTGCCGGACACGGGGCGTGCGTGGCGCGGCGCCGGCGTGCCGGGGCGGGGGCCATTCAGCGGCGTGGCGCGGGCCCCGGCCGGACAGGGCACCGGCCGGGAGGCTGCGGCCTTTGGACGGGCCGTTTGGCGGTGCGCCCCGCCCCACACTTCCGGCCGGGTCGGGCCCGGCGCTGACACATTTACCGATTGCCCGGTGGCCGGGTGGGGGATGCGGGCGGCGGGCGGCGCGGGCGCAGTGCTGCCGCTGGTGTTGCGCTGTCGGGCGGACGCGACCGGCCACGAGGCTGGCAGGTGATCGGCGCGGCGAGAGCGACGCGACGGCTGGTGACGGCGCGGGTGTGCCGGCGACGCATGGGGAGCGGGCGGGCCTCGGCCGGCCGGACCGCCTCCAGCCGACCATGAGCGGCAGCGGGCGGCGCCGGCGTCGCTGGCCGGCCGCCCGCGCCCTGCAGGCCTGCCTGCTGACGCTGGCCGCCACGCTCGCCGCCGGCCAGGGCTTCGATACACCCGTCATCACCATCGGCCAGGGCTCACTGCGCGGGGTAAGCTGCAGCATGGGCGGCGCCGTGACGCGCAGTAGACAGCACAAGTGATGCGTCACTTGCACTCGCGTGATGATTTTTGCTAATTCTAGTTGCGTGGCGCTTTTCACCATCTGGGTGGCCGTTTGCAATCGAAGTCCCGCGCGGCTAGTTCAGTGCTCCGTGAAATATGTCATATTTTATTCCATCCTTTCCTTGCGCTTTTATTCGTTGCCCGCCATGATTTCAAAGCACCCATCTGCGTCCAGCGCTGCGACTGCGGCGATGTGCTGCGTGGCGCACCACTGACGCCGCGTCTGTTGACCAGGTACGGGAATACGTCGAGTCGACGCAAAGGTCCGTGTACGCGTACCGGGGCGTGCCGTACGCAGCGCCGCCGATCGGCCGGCTCCGCTTCCAGGTGAGTACACTGGGCAGCTGGTCCCGACGGGTGGTCCCGACAGGTGGTCCCGGCAGGTGCTGCCAAAAGGCGTCACCTGCTCCGGCCGTTAGCGGATGGCACAGCTAAGGTGTAACGTGAGCAGCCGCGTCAGGAGACTTACGTCACCTGCTCCGGCCGTTAGCGGATGCCACAGCTAAGGTGTAACGTGAGCAGCCGCGTCAGGAGACTTACGTCACCTGCTCCGGCCGTTAGCGGATGGCACAGCTAAGGTGTAACGTGAGCAGCCGCGTCAGGAGACTTACGCGCGTTATTCGCGTTGAAAGAGCACAAGCAATGTGATAGTGCTGCCATAAGCAAGAACCACTTAGTGCGTACACAGCGAAGACAATCACCAAACACACAAGTAGCACACCTCAAAGATAATTAGTTTGAATGCTCACCACATGACGATGTATGCCATGTGGACATGACCGCTGACAAAGCTGCGATGTCTGACCCCGGCGTGGCGAACGGTGGCCAGAGCGTGCGCCACGCCTGAGGGCGCGTCCCGGCTCCTGCGGCAGGCTCCTGAGCGGCACACCGGCTGGAACCGCACCCAGCTGTTCGACCGGTATGGCCCGGCCTGCCCGCAGCTGGACACGCAGGGCGTGCCAGAGACGGGCGTCTCCGAGGACTGCCTGACGCTCAACATCTGGATACCGGAGGTGAGGCGGTCACATCAGGAACGAGGGGGAGGAGGTTATATCAGGATACTGGGTGAGGCGGTTACGCCTGGATACCGGAGGTGAGGCGGTCACATCAGGATACTGGGGTAGGCGGTCACTTTTGGTAGATGATGACAGCTGACAACCTCTCGTTGCAATTAAAGCTGGCGCAGTGGGTCAAGGTCATTTGTAGATTCTGCTGGCGGTAGGCCAAGGTTGTTCGTACCCGGGAACTAGCTTGCTCATGTTGGCAGATTGGCGGTCGCGGCTGTTTGCAAACATCATGACAGACAGCCAGATGGCCTCCGAACGTTTACGGCGTCCGTTCCTCTCATGCAAACAGCGGAGCGTGTGCGCACGTGGCGACTTTTGGTGGATTAGTTCGTGTCTGACACGCCCAGATTATGTGGAATAATGACTATGGGCCTTCAACGACCTTTTCATGTCACAGTTGCGCCAGAACTATGCATGGAAGCAATTCGTTTTGGTTCAAGTGCAGTGACGCATTCATTTCTTCTCAAGTGCATAAAATGCCCCCCCCCCCCTCCAAAAAGAACTAAAAGCAATCAGCTTACAACGGAATGGTTCGAATGAGCTGCCGTTCATTGAATGCTGGCTGATACTGATGTCTCAGTTCTACGCATTCTATCGATCCGTGTCTTCAACCATTTCCATTCACAAGCTAGTTGCATGCCCCAAATTAATATGTAACGCACTTTGCCAGTGTTCTGGATATTCGTTCAGCAAGTCGCAGCAAAACTTTAGGGGCGGTATGGAGATAAGAAGTGACGTGGAGCTGGTGCATTCGCTTACATCACCCAGTTCACTTCAAGCTTTTTCTGCTCTGACAGAATGAATGACATAAATCATTCACGACTCAAAACGAGCGGACCCTGGTTTGCGCACGCCAGCGTGTGCTGGCCTGCACAGATCGCCCGGCGTTGGCCGGCGCGGCTGTGCGGCTGCCCCCCCCCCTTCCCCCCCCTCCCGGCAGTGTTAGGCAGTGCCGAGAAGCTGTGGTGCTGGCTCATCGACATCTGGACCAGGTTTCAACCCGTGTTCATCACTGTTTTCTTGGCAATTTTAAAATGTTATTTCTTCACTGTTAATCCAAAGGGGGAGGGGTTGAAAAAGTGGTGGCATTGCGATGTTGCAGAAAAAAACGTCTGATCAAGCAGGTTGTATACCAGCACCTGACAGTCGATAAACCATACCGTCGAAAGAGTTACGCTTCTTGTTGCTCAGACGTGTGTAGACCTGCGACCAGAGGTTGCAAAGATGTTGACCCCCAGAGGGCATGGAGGCCGGGCTCCGTCACTCATCAGGTTGGCAGTTCTCTAGCTCATCCAAGGCTCGCTGGGCTGCTCAGGTTGGCAGTCCCCTAGCTCAGCCAAGGCTCGCTGGGCCAGCGGCCTCGCTCGTGACAAGCTGTCCTCCGGCGCGATGCCCGTCGACCCTCTCTCCAACCTACCGCTCCGAGACGGTGGACTGTTGAGCTGATCTCTGGGCTGTCTTAGGTTTAACACAGGCCCGGGCGGTCGGTTGAACGCGACGCGCTGGCGGTTGTAGGTGGGGGTGGGAGATGGGATGGGGGTCAGTTTAACGGCCTGAGATCTTTTCCTTAGCCAGAGGTTAACCTGGGGGAGGGGCGTTGTGAGACAATAGGGCAGTAAGCTTTGTCCGTCCCTATTTCTTATGTGGATTATTTGTGCGACTGTGTGGATATTTATATGTGGCCGAGCATTATGCGTTCTTACTTCATATTCTTAGTTCGCTTTAAGCTCGTCTTAAACCTTTTGGGATGACTAGCTTCTTAATGCTTCATATTCTGGAGCCCTGATATGTCAACTGCGGGGTTCTTGATAATGCATCGGTTCACCTGCACGTGGGTCTGAAGTTCATAGCCATTGCGCATGCGCTGCTTTAAAGCTTTAACGTTTAGAATGATAGCGACAGTGCCATGCGCCGCTATACTGCATCATTCGAATCAATCATGGTCTGATTATCGACGAGCTTAGATTTGACGACACGTATGGTCGCTGGCCCAGGGCAGTTCACAGCATCTACACCTAAACATCAAGAAGCTCAGTTCTCTGCCTTAGATATCTTACAAACGGTCCCCGCTTGCCGCGCTGCGCCAAGAGGTGACGACGTTGGCGCCTGTACCGCCGCATCCAGCGACGTAACGTTGATTTCTGCATGAGCAACGTGATGTGTACGTCAGGTAATATTTCTACCCTGCTTAACAGTCGTGGGCTACTCGGACACATTGCTCGGGCAACTTAGCTGTACGCACTCATGACATCGACTCAATATATTGTGGCTGTGGCCCCCGGCCGCTTCGCTGCGCAAGGCTGCGACGCCACTGGCGCTGGTATAGACGCATAACTGATCAGGATCTCAGTGATGCACAGCGTGTCTTGATTGGTTCTGCGAAGTTGTCAGTGCGGGCGTTAAATGACAGTCCCTGGGTTTTAGGGGCCCTATACTCGTCGCTGTTTTAGCTTTGCGGCGGGTCAGCGACGGCTTGGTCTCTGCACAACTTGTGTCTGCCGCACATACGAAAGCGTCTGCCTGCTAAATGTCAAACCATGCAGCCTCTCGCACACGCTGTGACCGGCGCTGTTATTGAGCTGAGGGTGTCGTGTCATTGATTGTCACGTAGGCTGAACTCGTCGCATGTGCAATCTTCGCCGAAATCCGTGTCGCTGGTCTGCGTAGTGCGTCCAGATAAAAAGTGTGCTTACATACCGAGGTGAAAAAGTGTCTTGTCTGTCACCGACGAAAGCTGGAACCGTCGAAATTGTTACCTGGAGCCAAATCTTTCAGAAGCCGTTGGAATAAAATTATGCATGCGATGAACCACAAGACACACCTAAAGTTAATGCAAAGCGGCATAGCCATCAAGCAATTTCGTTTCGGGGACTCAGTTGCTTGCCATCAAACACGAATGATGGTTGAGACTAAATTATCAGATGAAGGTATGCTTAACATAACCAGCCTACAGGCGCGTCGTTTCCTATTCAGTTAGGAGGGGGGGGGGGGGGGGGGCATTGTGTCTCATAACCAGGTATGTAGTTTTCTTTTGTTAGAAATCCCTTTTAACCATTATCTTCGACTAATCATGACTTTTAGAGTTCAGCCCTCCGAAACTAATTTTGAGAAACTGCACTCTTCCTCCGAACCATGAAAAGAAAATTGCGTCAAATTTGGAGACGAAACTGTTTAAAGTGCATTTCGGGGACAGGCTCAGCTATATTTGCTTTCCGCTCACCCCGCCCAAATCTTCATTCTTCATCTCTACGTATTTTTCAAAACTGCATCCCTGAAGCCCTACATTTACCGATAGCATAGTTCTACAACCATATGACAATATCATTTTAGGGTTTGTGGCGTTAGCATACAATCAGCTGGAAGCGTTGACGACCTTTACTATCTTCGCAAACTGTTACCGGTGCAGAACTCGCAATTTCTAACATCATCTGAATTATGTAGAGCAAAACCCATGCAATATCGTTATCAACAGACGTCAACGACATTTTTGAACACCTCCAGCACCTTCATTTGACTTTATACGCAATATGATGACAATAAAAGCGTTTTGTCTGGCGCCTGTCCACCGATCAGTACGCCAAGTCTGTGGTGCCACGGGCAATGCGGGAGCCCTACACCAGAGGTGCTCGGCCTCTTACCTCCAAGCCACCGTTCCTCACAACAGCGGGAAGCGCTGGATGAATCGTTGACATGTGTCGCTTCAAAGTCCTCCGTTGGCCTCTGAAGCTATAGCTCCGGTATGCGTAAACAATGATCCTCCTAGATCGGCAGAGCTTTTTAAAGTATCGCATTAATTGGCTATTAGGCACGTTCTTCTAACCAGTCATCTTTTCACGACATGAACACAACCATCAACAGTCCACAGCTTCGCACTTAACCCAACGCATCACCGCGCGACGGGCATTTGAGGTCATCGGTCTGAAACGGCATGACGCTTTAAGACGCTGCGTAGCAAACTGAGCATGTTGGCCGCAAGATGATGTGGCCAGCAACGATTCTTACGACTAGTAATGAGCCTAAATATTCAGTATTCTACACTGTATAGTATGTGAAGTGAATCTTGGCTGAAAAATCTGTGGAAGGCATTGATCTGAGGGACATTGGAAAAGCGCCGTGTCACCGCCGATCTGTGACCTCAGTACTGATATAGTATAGTTTGCAGTATGTTTCGGTCACCTGCTAAAAACTATCCTGATTAAATCCACTATGTTTGGCAGTATCTTATGGCTTAGCTGGCCCATACAGCGAAACATCAACGTTTCGACATGTGCTCAGCACATGCTCACGCTGTAAGAGTTAGCGAGTACAGAACAATACTGAGCTTTGAGTTTCGTCTAGCTGGGATGGTCTGTTGCAAACGGTTTGGTGTGTTGAAATATGTTCGCATTTTTGCAATGCTTTCACCAATTGGCTTACAAAAGTGTCAGTTTTTGTCACCGATCGTATCCGGTACACCAGCAGCTTTTTCACCCCTCCTGACGTAGACAGACATACCGTATTGCCACAGATGGAGAGGTCGACGCTCTTAATTTAGCTACTTACATCCTTCACCTCAGCTGCTCAACTTCTTATTTCGAGACTCTATCCCCCTTTGTTTGACAGCCTCCGCACAGATGTTTGCAGCATTTAATTCCCATAGATTACATAGCTCGAAGGCGTAAAGGCGCCCTCCGCCTGCGCCTGAGATCCCCGTCTACTAAGAGTCGGAAGTCTCCTCCACATTCGACGAGTATTTACACCTCACTTGCCAACCGCTGTACTACTCCTCTCCTCACCTCTGCATCTGTTCCACTTTCTCCGTTTGTACTTTCTTCTGATTCGATACGCCCCTTCTCAGTCCCGTGCTAACATCACCCTCCCGGTGTTAAGTTATCAGGGGAAATAGCGATACATTCGCTGCGATAAGCTCAGAAACTTGTCCATAAATATCGGCAAATTATCTGATATTTGAGTTACTTCAACGGCATTGCGGCCCGCCTGAGCTTGGGATGCGCTTCTGACTTAGCTTTGGGTGCTTTTCTGTAGTTGTTTGTGTGGGGCGTACGTGACCTTGAACACGACCTCACCTCTCTTTTCGAAGGGTCTCTGCATTCGGATTTGGTGAGGCTACGTACTTGGTCTTGGTGTTCCCATCAATTAGGGACCAGGTGGACTAGCCCGACTCGGTGCGCCCGTCTACTTGGTCTTTGGGCGCCCTTCAACGTGGCCTTCGGGCGGAGCTCTGCATGGGTCAGGGGTATCTTTCCACCTATGTTTGTTGGCATGTATCCTCTTAGACATGGATGCACGGTTCTGCTTCCGCCTGGGGGTCTCGTCTACCCATCGCTGGACCTATCTTTGGACTTCCTATAGTTGGGCCTAGTGCCGTCGACGCCTCCCGTAAACATGATATGTGAGAGCGTACGTCAGAAATTCTCCTTCATTCTCTACATGCGTGTACAGGGGTGGCCGTCATCTAACTGGGGAAACGTGTATGATCTGTATACAGACACACCTCGATGCATGCTTAATTATTCGTACGAAACGACCCTGCGGCACCTGTGTGAAAAGTATTTGAGCTGCTTAAGACATTGAAGCTACCGGCCATTGACATTACACCATATGGACATTTGCTGTCGGAATCGACTTGCGACGCATTATAAGCATGCGAATCATTACATTTCTTTCTGCCTTATCAATATAGACAATTATTGATTCAGCCCGTCTCATGACTCAACTAGAGAATCCAACCCAGCCAAATATGGGTCACTACCGGTGGCTTGAAAGCTATTGTACAAATCCGCGAGCCAAAAGGCAGTGATAAAAAACAAGTGAGCCACAATACAGCTCTCACTTAAGCATACACATTTGCATGGTGCGTTAACTTCGTGAAAATATTCTGCTGATGTAAGTAATGCGTGTGCGGATAATTTTGCATGAGTCGCTGTGACCGGGCCGTCCTCCGACAGCAGGCCGCGCCTCCCCCCCCCCCCCCCCCCCCCCTCCCCGCTCACTGTGCCGTGTATGGAGTGGCGGGGACCGCCGAGCCACTCCCTGTCGGCGGCTGAGCGCAGCGGCGCGCGGACGCCCCTCACGCTCTGAATAGACCTGGCCGCCGCCGGCCGGCGTACAGCGGCGCGCGTGCGAGGTGAAAGTGCTGCCGACAGCGAAAAAAGCCGCCATGTGCCCGATGATGGATTGATGGAGCGAGATATCAACTCTGATGGATATCTGTCATTCATGACACATAATACATCACATGCGGTATTTTTGAGCGAGATACCATGAACCCTGATGGATGCCTGTCATTCACAGTGCATAATGCATCACATGGAGTGCTTTTGACACACAGGTAGTGCCATGGTAGAGGAAATTATTTCTTCCCTGCTTTCAGAACAACGGAATGGCTGCTATAAAATTCATTGTTTGGCTTCACGGAATCCAGCGTTTCGGGAAGACTCAGATTTGCGAGACATTTTCTTCACATTGAGATTTATATTTTTCTTCATGTTGACCCTGATAGCTCTGTTCATAACAACAGCTATGTCTTGCGGCATTCGACCTTCGACTGCATTCGACCGCACAAAACACACAATGCCTTAAACGCTTGTAGCGTCACAAGCTCATCCCACAATTACTTAATAGTCAATTAGAGCATTCAACAAACGTTCGGGTCGCATGCAAGCCGTAAAACGGAGTGTCGTCCTTGGCAGGCCCCTGTCGGCTTCCGGCGATTTCCTGTGGTCGTCTTCCTTGACGGTGAGCTGTTCTGGAGACAACGCTCATCCAAGTTCCCGATGAAGGACCTGGCAGCTGAGGAGCTGGTCATAGTCTCTGTCAGCTATCGCACCAACATATTTGGTAAATATTTTGAAGCGTTGCTTATTTCCGCTCTGGAGTTCACCAGCATGTGTACGTGAGAAGGTGTAATAATAAGTGTGGTCATGTTAAACGTGGCAAATAACGAATGGGTGCCTATGGTAGTGCAATGCGTAGTGGGCTAGTTAACGTTCTTATTTTCTCCGTGTTCACAGAAACAGATGTAAATGGAGTGCATGGTGACGCGCCGACATATTTTAGAATGAACGTAAAAGTTTGCCATTTTTCGATGGTGGCTGAGCGAAACCCATCTCAAGTCTATGCCATCAAGCACAGAACGGTTTCGCAGGGTGGCCAAGAACTCCAGCGATTAACGCGGGTCCGTACGGCCGCTGTCGTGACCTGCGCCCGCTCGCTGGCCGGCAGGGTTCCTGACGCTGCGCTCACGCAGCGCGCCGGGTAATCTGGGGCTGCGTGACCAGCACCTGGCGCTGCGCTGGGTGCGCGACAACATCGGCGCGTTCGGCGGCGACTCGCGCCGGGTCACCCTGCTGGGCTTCTCGGCAGGCGCAGCTTCCGTCGGTCTCCACATGGTGTCGCCGCGGTCGCAGGGCTTGTTTCAGCGGGCGGTCATGATGTCAGGGTCGCCGCTGGCGTCCTGGGCGCACATGAGCAGCGTGGAGGCTCGCCGCGTGGGAGAGGAGCTGGCCGCCATCATGGGCTGCCGGGACATCAGTGACGTGGCGTCGCTGCGCTGTCTGCAGAGACACGACTTTCTGCGGCTGCTGACCGCCACCCAACGCATACTGGAGGTGATTGCCGCGCCCATGTAAAATGGCGCCCCGCCAGAAGTTGATGGTGGCTGGTCCTCGATCCTCAGCCGGACGAACTCGTTATCAGTGGGTGGAGGAGATCATGGCCAAAGTGAAGAAGTACCACCTCATGCGGTGCGAATAAGACTCGACGATACAATGACCGGGTGACGGCTTGAGCATCGTCCTTCTGATCTGGGAGGTCTTGCTTTTAAGGTAGTTCATTAGTTGCTGCTGATTTGTTTGCTCGCATTTGTGTGCATTTATCGTATGTCTCATGACTGAGAGACTGCCTGATGTCACGCAGCCTCTAAGCCTTTTCTCTCAGTGTATCGCTGAAAGCCCCTTACCCATCCGCTGCCATGACCAACAGTCTCAGATATGTCTTTCCATCATTTTTTGATTGGGTTGGTCGGCAGAAGAACCAGTCGCTATTCCTGTCGCGCAGTCAGGTTTCGCCGTAAATCTCATTCGACCTCGCAACCAGCCTCCTGTTCTGTTCCCAGTCTCTGCCCGAGCCCGGTTTTTCTTATCTACTTAAACCATAATTTCCACTGTAGTTTTCACGCATTTGGAGGTGGTTCATGCGCATGCACAGCGCCATACGACCACTTGAAGTTACCATCTCCGTCCCAGGGTGTGGGAGCCGCTTGTCCGTTGTATCTAGGCCGACGACATGACTCGCCTCGTCCCTGCCCTCAGTCTCGAAGTCGGTTTTTCCCGGTGTTCGCGCCGGTCACCGACTCGTTTCTGCCCTCGGGCGACCGGGTCATCCCGGATGATCCGGTCCGGCTGCTCCGCTTCGGAAACTACGCCAAGGTGCCGCTCATGGCCGGGATGGACCACGACGACGGCATCGTCATGCTCTGTGAGTCGGCACGGCCACCCACTCGTCATGCTCTGTGAGTCGGCACGGCCACCCACCAGAACCGCGTGGGTGATGTTGGACCTCCTATACGAGAGCTGTACAGCGGCGGGCGCCTCATACATAGACCGGTTGTTTGGTCGTGCAAACATGGGTTTGGCGGCGAGACCCGTGTTTAAAGTATTTACGATCACAAGGCTTGGGAAGTGACTGTTTCATTAACGCTAGCTCGGATTTGGGGGGAGGGGGGGGGGCAATCTGCTCCATTCCCGAAAGCTTGATCTTTTGGTGTAAAAAATTAGATTTCCTTTGCAAAATCAGTGACCAATGATAAGTCCAAATCAGGCCATGGATTTAGTGAAGACATTTTTTTTAGGGAACCGTTCAATTTGATGCAACAACGGAGTGTTAGATGAGGCCGTACACCTCTAACATAGTTTCTTAGGCAACACAACAATCGAATTAACAAACCTTTTTAACCTAGGGTTAGGTATGAAGGGCAAGGTAAAACCAAACCCCTCTTACTTGAGAGCTTGAGAGCTGCTTGAAAGCTGTTTGGGGTAATTTCTAGTGGTCCTTTTCAATTTATTGATAACAGGGACCGCGTCAGAATCTTTCACTGACTTCCTCAAGGTCAAAATGGTCACTGGCCTCAAATGACCCATGTCAACATTTTGTTGTCACGCTCCGATCGCATTATGTAACCTTTTCCCGTTATGCGAATGAATAAATCAACGCAATCTTGTATGATTTTGGTCATCATGACCTTACCTTCAGCGAGTACCAGTTAGTTTTTGCTTAGAACAGGGTTCTGGGTTTGCGGCTGCTGTATGAGAAGGTTTGGTCACTGCACACCGATCTGGTGTTTGACCTTGTTTGACATTATTTGGCCGGAAGGTTATGACCTGGAAATCTCAAATTTTGACAAAAGCGAGTTCATACACAGGCCGACACATCCTGTGAATTTAGTGCCTGTAGCTCTTTCAGTTTTTGAAATTTCGGAGGGGGGGGTATTGACCCCCGATCAGAGTGAAGAGTATTCAACCGGCCATTCGGGTGCGTGCTAAGTCAAAATGACTCAAAACCTTAACATTAGGACCACGACGAGATGCGGAGGGAAACAAATAATTTAAGAGCATGCGCAAACTGCCTGCCTCCCAAAGCTGGTCTGGCTCTCGCACCAGCGCGCTCGCCGCCGCCGCAGTGTCGAGCTGGGCTGGCCGGGGAGCTGGCTTACACTGACCTGACCTGCGCGTTCGGCAGACCAGTACCCGGGCACAGACCGCCTGACCTTCTCCAACCTGACACTGATCATGCGCCGCGTGGTCATCCCGCGCCTGCTGGACCAGTACCGGCTGACACAGCAGCGCCAGCTGCTGGAGCGGGTGCTGTCCTACCGCTACATCGACTCGGTGCCGCCCGGCAGCCAGGAGCTCATGCTGGCCAGCTTCGTCAAGGTAACCTCATCCTGACCAGCCTCGTCAAGTTAACACATACCTGGAAGTCTTGTCTAGGTGAGCCGATGCTGACCAGCGTTGTCAAGCTAACCTCATCTTGACGAGCTGTTTCGTCAAGGTGAGCTGATGCTGACCAGCGTCGTCAAGCTAACCTCATCCTAACCAGCTGATTCGTCAAGATGGGCTGATGCCGGGTAGTCTTGTCCAGGTAAGCTGATGTTGGAACGCATCGTCCGGATGAGCTTACAGCGCCAGGTTCTGTGGAAATGAACTCCTATTCGTCAGCTCCGTCTAGGTGCGCTCATTCCAGAAAGAACGTTGTTAAGGTTTGCTGTTGAGCTCGTGTTGACAATCAATGTACAGATATTAAGGTTAGCTCATATAGGCCCCCTTTGCCAAGGTGAGCCCGCCCGCAAGCGAGCTTGTCATGACGCCTGGCGTGCCTTCCTCAGGCGTTGATTGAGAGGAAACCGATTACGGGTGAGATAACATGGTGCTAAAATTTGAACTCGGACATCCAGCACCCATGCAGCATACTGCCAGTTTTTGTTTAGCAGCCAAGTCCGCTTCGGCCAGCCACATCGTACTTGTCCACACCTGCCCGCTCCTCTTTGCAGATATTTGGAGACGCATACTTTGCCGCGCCGATGTACCAGTTCATGGAGATGTACGCTCGAGCAGGCGCCGTCATTTACGGCTACGGCTTCACCGAGCGAGGACCCGACATCTTCGGCAACGTCGTCACCTTTCAAGGTAGGCCTCATCATGAATGTTCGCAAATATACGCCCGCAGTATCCATGACGTGAGCACCAAACTGCCCTTTCGCAGCCACTGATCGTTAGCGCGCTGATTTTGAGGGCAGTATACCAGACGGCGTGCGGCTCACTTCAGATGACGAGCGGTATCAGGGACGTTACAGACAGGGGTGCGAACCGCAGTGTGGCCAGAGGGGCAGCTGCCCCCCACCAACTTTCATTGGATGTGGTGAACTTTTCACATGCCGCTATAGAAGTGGGTATGTTCCGGCAGCTGTGCCAACCGCAAACCTATTTTGCGTTCTTGTGTTCACTGCGTTCACTATCAGTGTGTCAAAGAGTGACAAGGCTAAACACAGAGTGCCTGAAAGCTATATCGTAGGTCAAAGCAGGTTGTAGTTAGTACCACTTGTATCATTTCAACTAGCATGCAAAGCAAACATTTTATTGGGAACAATGTGTTGCCAAAAATGATTGTTTTGGGCGGATCTTGATCGCAGTGAACTGGACTGGACACATGCGTAGTTCTCATAACCAAATCCCCCGGTGCAAGCCCTAGCATGTGGTAGTTGACACCGGATCTAAAAAACTCGCTGTTTGGTTGATTACTGCCATTGCTATGTGGTGGCAGTGATGAGCCCGCGGGGACGTGGGGTCCTGTGACGGTCGACGCGGGGACGTGGGCTCCTGTGACGGTCGACGCGGGGACGTGGGGTCCTGTGACGGTCGACTCATCCATATCGTTTAGTTCATTTCACACCTGTGTGCTCAGGTTCAAAGACCTGCCATCTTTTCTTTAAAAAATGCCTCAAAATCGACGGATCCATGGTTGGTAGTCGAGTGCACGTTATCGACTTCACACATAAACAACACTTTTATCTTCCTTTTTTACCGATGGGTTTTTGGATGGCGGTCGAATACACATGATCGACTTCACACATTAACTATACGATATCGATGTGAGTTATCGATATAATTTTCGTTGCTTTCTCCGCCTAGTTTCATGTTGAGGGTCATCTTTGTAAATTTCTATGATCAGTACCTGCTCTTGACCCGTTTTCTCAGATTTTCGTAATTTTCTAAGTGTGTATTTCCGTCGGTGATCGAAAGGGAAAGTGACATTCCGGCGGTGCATTAATCAGGAATTATCCAAATAATCAAACAGTTTGCATGCAGATGCCCTTGAAACATCACAATACGACGCATATAGATTGTAGCACCTGTTCAAAAAACTGCATGGTGGTGCGATACATGGTTGAAAATAGATGGTTGAGTCAAAAGCGCGACTGGCTGGGCCGTGCTAGCCAGCTAAAACGGTAACACTTTCGGTTAGCTGATGTTGAGGCATGCTGACCTGCGGCCTCACTCGGAGTCACGTTTATACGTGATAAGGACAGGAGTGCGCGAATGACTGGCAAACAAGTAACGTACTGACGGCGGTACCACATACCTCGGAGACCACGAAGGCTGCATCATGGTCAGGTTCTGGTTCCGATGACCGCAGAAAGCGTGTTATGTGTTCATCAATATAATTGGTCACCAGATGATACTGCAACATTGCATTCCGTGAGGAAGAGCTTTCTTTGAGAAATAATTTCAATCGGCTATATCAATGATTTGATGGAAAGCACCTCCAACTTCGCCGTTCTGAAATGTTGGCGCTGCTCAAGGAAGCCGTACATTCGGCGCCTTGCGTGCAGAAAGCGGTTTCCGTAATTACGATCAGCGACCAGGAGGCAGAGGAGTTTCCCAAACAACCTTATTTCGTGCTTTCCCTTAGCCGTGAAATGATCCAAACTCCTCTGTTTATCTGAGGCAGCGCTCGTCAAAGCCGAGTAGAGGCCGCACTGGTGTGCAGGAGGTCGTCCGGGCCCCGGTTCACCGCCGCTGCTGTGCTCCTGATGCGGGGGACTGTCCGGGCCCTGGTCCGCCGCCGTTGCTGTGCTCCTGATGCGGGGGATTGTCCGGACCCTGGCCCGCCGCCGCTGCTGTGCTCCTGATGCGGGGGATCGTCCGGGCCTTGGTCCGCCGCCGTTGCTGTGCTCCTGATGGGGGTGGGGGATTGTCTGGGTCTCGGTCCGCCGCCGTTGCTGATATCCTGATGCGGGGGATTGTCCGGGCCTTGGTCCGCCGCGGCTGCTGTGCTCCTAATGCGGGTGATTGTCCAGGCCCTGGCCCGCGGCTGACGCTAACGCCCTGGCGCCGTGCTCCTACCACCAGGCGCGTGTCCAGGCCCTGGCCCGCGGCTGACGCTAACGCCCTGGCGCCGTGCTCCTACCACCAGGCGCGTGTCCAGGCCCTGGCCCGCGGCTGACGCTAACGCCCTGGCGCCGTGCTCCTGCCACCAGGCGCGGGACACGGCTCGGAGCTGCTTTATCTGCTCGGACCGACCATGTTCCGTCTTCTGGTGGGCAACGCCTACGGTCGGCCCCAGCAGCGGCTGGGCATCAAACTGAGGGATTACTGGACGGCATTCATCACGGACGGGTCAGTTGGAGCGGCAGACACGGCAGAGCGGCAGACACGGCAGACACGCGCGGCAGACACCGCAGACACAAAGCAACAGACACGACAGACACAGAACGGCAGACGAGGCAGACACAGAACGGCAGACGCGGCAGACACATGCTGCAGACACGGCAGAAACAGAGCAGCAGAAACGGCAGACACAGAGCGGCAGACACGGCAGGAACAGAGCGGCAAACACGGCGGACACTGCAGACACAGAACGGCAAACATGGCACACAAAGAGCGCCAGACGCGGCAGACACAAAGCAGTAGACACGGGGGCGGTTGACCTCGGCTGCCGTCCTCGGCTCACCTCGGCTGCCGCCCCCAGATGGCCCCGGCTGCCGTCCCCGGCTGACCCCGGCTGAGCTCGGCTGACCTCGGCTACCGCCGCCAGCAAACCTCGGCTACCGCCCCCGGCTGACCTCGGCTACCGCCCCGGCTGACCCCGGCTGACCTCGGCTGACCTCGGCTACCGCCGCCAGCTAACCTCGGCTACCTCCCCGGCTGACCTCGGCTGCTCCCCCGGCTGACCCCGGCTGACCTCGGCTGACCTCGGCTACCGCCGCCAGCTAACCTCGGCTACCTCTCCGGCTGACCTCGGCTGCCGCCCCCGGCTGACTCCGGCTGACCTCGGTTGACCTCGGCTACCGCCGCCAGCTAACCTCGGCTACCTTCCCGGCTGACCTCGGCTGCCATCCCCGGCTGACCTCGGCTGCTGCCCCCAGCTGACCTCGGCTGACCTCGGCTGCCGCCCCCAGAGACCCGATCCGGGGCAGCTTCGGCGAACGCTGGCGGCGTTTCAGCCTGGACGAGCCTAGCTTCTACAACCTGGCCGGCTCGGTGGTGGAGGTGGGCTACCGGCGCGAGGACGCCGGATACTGGAACACCTTCCTGCCGTTCATCGAGGGCGGCGGCTCGACCGTTGACCCCATCGATCCCACCACTACGCAGCCGCTCGGTGGGTGACGGCGTGCCGTCTGTCCCTGGTAAACTGTCGAGTCTTGGCTGCCAGAAACGTTAAGCATGGATGCGGGTGGGTATAATTGCGGTCTGTTTGTTGTTTCAACCTTTGTTTGCCATTGGTCCGTTAATCGGCGGCCTCCGCGCACCCTTAGGCATATCACTGGGTGCTGGGCGTGCAGCATCGAGAGCACTAAGTTCCCTTTAAGTTCCCTCCGGTGGCTTCTTAGAAGCAGCCCGCAGCAGTATTGCTCTTGCGCTGTGCACAATACCACCAGAGTTAGATATTCACCGCAAGTGCAGGCAAATTAAGTTTGCTAGACGCTGAGAATCAGCGAACCAGTTGATCGCCATTCACTTTATGGTAAATGTCGATCAAGTTAAGCATTTGTGTGTTTTTCACCAGGTGGCAGGCAGAGGAGTGATTAACTGACACACGGCCGGCACTGTTTCAGTGGACCAGTCAAGTCCCTACCAGGTGGTCATGTGGGTGCTGGTCGCACTCATTCTCATCCTCATCATCGGTCTGATCGTCGCATTCTTCCTCACCCGAAAATGGAAGCGCTCGCGCTCAGACCTGTCGTTTCGCTAGCAACACGCCACAAGACCGAGCGCTGTGTACCGGCAAGCCTCCCTCAAGTAGATTCATCGTTAACGTCTTCGCGTGGCGTCCATCAGACGGCGCTGGCGGCACCCAGTGAGATGTCGCTGCCATCGCGCCGCCAGGTGGCGACGCCGCGCAACATCGCGTCCACGTCGGCAGGCGAGTCTCCACCGCGTGAGCTGGCGTCGCCCATGCCGATCTACGCGCGCCCCACGCGGTCCGCGGACCGGCCGACGCCGGCGCGCACCCTGGTGACGCGCACAATCCACCTGGCGGGGCCGAGCGACCTGCCCGACAGCGGCCGGCCGGCGCGCCACGAGGGCGACGTCGACCACGAGTACTGCGTGATCGTAGACCACGCGGCGACGCGGCCGGCCGCCAGCCGTGGCATTCGCGACATGGAGACGCTGTTTTAAGTGTCTCCGCGTGCGCTTACATAGCTCCGGCCCCACGATCGGCGACGGCAGCGTCACGAAACGGCAACTGTGACGTCACGGCAGCGGCGGGACGCTGACGATGAACAATGGACGGTACATAGCGCGCGGCCTTGTGGAGAGCGCACCGGACGACGACCGCCGCCGGAGCGGACAGGGAGGCCGCGACGACGGCGGACGGAGCCCACCCGGACTGACTGCGGGAGTGAGAGCGAGGCTGCTCCTAGAGCTTGCGTAGATGACAGCCGGACTGACTGCGGGAGCGAAAGCGAGGCTGCTTGAAGAGCTTGCGTAGATGACAGCCGGACTGACTGCGGGAGTGGGAGCGATGCTGCTTCTAGAGCTTGCGTAGATGGCAGCCGGAGTCATTGTGGAGCACGTAAGTTCGCCAACCTTGCGGGCGGCGGAGTGGAAGCACATGCTCGTACGCCAACGTAGTCGTGTGGTCCGTGCCATTCCTCACGCTCCCATCTGTCGGGCATTATTGTTCTTCCTTAGTGGTATTCGCTGAGAACAGGAGCAGGAATAGTTGCCAGGTGTCTGCATGTAGGTGCGTTTGTGGAGAACCATCAGTAACGCGTTTCGGAATGCCATACGAAGCGCCGTCATGCAAGTCATAGTTGGTTTCGGCGGCAAAATCCCATGAGGGGTTTTAGCCGAGTCGGTGTTTCGCTCGGCACCTTCGCAAAAATCCGTGTGTCGAGTAGACTGAGATGGGACGTACTTTAGAACTGATGCGGCCCTGGAGTGCGCAACTTATCTCCTAGGTGACTTACTTCAGGTTATACATCACTATCTCGCGAGTACATGCCCGCAGTGTAAGGAACGACAATCGCAGCTCAGAGTCAGGTCAGCGAAGCGCACTGCGGTCTTCTACAGTCCTGCGAAGCGCACTGCGGTCTTCTACAGTCCTGCGAAGCGCACCGCGGGCTGCTGCAGCCTTGCAAAACACACGCGAAGCAGCCGAAAAATGGCATCATTCCGAGAGTCAGCTGCTGATCGTCCCAACGACCGACCACCCAACGACGCCCCAGGCCATACCAGCCCGGGACCCCTCACCAGACACACTGCGGTCACCCCTGACTTTATTGAGATACAAAATCAGCAACTAGGCAGCTCAGCCGACCGGCCGTCCGCGAGCCGTCAGCCGGGCGGTGACGGACCGGCGTCAGCTCTACCCGGCGGCGGATGACCGAGCGACCGCCCCGGACCAGAGCGGCTACCCCGTCGGCGGCGGCGCACTGCGTCCCAGCCGACCCCGCGGCCGTCGCCGGCTCCGGAGCGCGCCGGCCGCTCGGCCCGCGCCCCGGCCGCCGGCTGGCCGCGCCTCGGTGCCGCGCACCGGCAGGACGGGTCGGGACTGGCGGCAGCTCCCGGCGGGCCGAGGCCGCGCCCGGCGGCCGTTTGAACTGGACACAGCGGACGCGTGGTGACGGGCGGCAGTGATGAGCGCGCCGGACACTCCGGCTTCTAGTGGGCCACCTTAATCCACCGGTCGATCGAGTACTCCAGCGCTGCCAGCCACCTGCCGGGCAGACGGCACACTGACTCACTGCACGGCCATGGCCAGGGAGACATCTGACAACTTACGACAGATCGGTAGTCCCCCAGGGTTCACCTGAGGTTGGTGCAAATTACAAAACCAGGACACGCTGTACACACATACAAACGTGCGGACACGTAACTTCGACAGACTTCCACCCCATATCTTTGCGCAGCACGAACGTCTCAAGAAACAGCGTCCGCGGCAAATACTGTCAGCTCTGCCGCACAATGTACCGCCCTTGCCTAAAAACACAGCGGAGCTCGACAACGCTTCAGACTGCGCCGAGACAGCCGCGCCAGGTAGCCGGTGCCCCCCTCCTCCCCCCCCCCCCCTGCACCGGTCGTTGGCCGGGAGCGCGTGCCGTCTGGCGCGCGGGCTCGGCCGGCGGGCCTCACCGCTTGCGCTCGGTCTCGGAGTCGGCGATGAAGTAGAAGTGGCGGAGCCGCGGCTGCGGCGGGCTGACCTCGAAGCTGGGTCGGCGGCCGCCCACGCCGCTGCTCTGCACACGGTAGCCATGGAGGTAGGCGGCGCCTGCCGACCGCCACTCCACGGTCAGGACGCCCCACTCCAGCTCATGACCTAACGCTTAATAGCTGCCTCCGTAGCAACCGCATGGCCAACGTCTGCGACTGAACTAATGAAAGCCACGCGGGAATTAGCGGGGCATGATGGCACGTGGCAACACACATTACAAACTGACCGGTAGACCTAACACAGCCGCATCGCACGCCCGAGCAGAGCAGCAAGTTTCCCACGCCCGTTGCGGATGAGATCGGCAGCCTGTAGGCAGCAGCGCGCCATCCGCGCGCGCCAGGGCCCACGCGCCGCCGGCGCCCGCCACCGGCGCCGGCAGCAGCACCCACCGAAGGCGGCCGGCTCGCTGTCGCCGCGGTAGAAGTACATGACCCCATCCTTGAGCACGCAGTAGAGTCGTTTCCAGCAGCGCCAGCGGTGCCCCAGCTTGCTGAGGAAGCCGCCGCAGTCCGGATTGTGGATGAGGCCGGGCGGCCCGGCCGCGTTCAGGCGCACGGCCGCCTGCCAGGCGCTCTCCTGTCGGCGACAGGCGGCCCCTGTCAGCCGCAGGCGGCGCAGACGCCCGCTGTCGGCTACTCCACCCGCTGGCGCGCGCCTGAGGCCGCCGGCAAAACGGCACGGGATGCTGCTACTACAGCTCGCACAAGGTCAGGGGCCAATCCCCAACGCATCCATCAGAAGAGCTAGTAATTTTTCGAATTGAGACCACTGTTGATGGGATACTGTTAGTACCACTGTTTGAGAACACCGTTATGTCTTTATATCATGTTCATGAAAACGACATTAATACGATTTCTATCCTGCGTATCTAGTCGCACTAAGCGCTTGCTCAAGTGTCATTCCGAGCACTAATTGCCTAGGAAAAGCATTGCGGTTTATAACATTCATAATCTTGAACGCCACAGAGCACGGCTAGCGCCCGTGCTGAAACTCAGAGTAGAGGACACCTCCAACTGGGGCGACCGAGGGGGGAGGGGGTCGGCTTGCCTGTTCGGTTGCTGTAACCAGTCGGGCGGCGGTTGAAATGGCATGCAGGCACAAAGCGGAACGGGACCACAGGGCGGCGGCCGGTGGCTCGGCTGGCGGGCAGCCCAACAAACAGCAAACTCCTCGAACGGACGGCGAGCGGCGCAGCTCCGGCGAAACGACCGCCTGCTGTCGGCGGCGCTCGCGTGGCGCGCTCTCAGCGAACAGACGACACTCACGTGCACGTGAAAACAAAACTGAACACATCTGGCAACGGCCCAACCGCGCCGAGAACAGCAAACGTAACTAGGCGGGCGCGATGCCACACCGAAAACTGGTGGGCCTGGGCGTAGACGAAGCACAGCCGACGTCCCCAGATGGCTAGCGCGGAGTCAGCTCACGACTGGGCACACTGAACGGGCAGCTGGTCCCTGCTCCTGGCGACTGCAGGCCGCGTCGACGGCCCGGGACGGCCCGGGTCCTGCTCGGCGCCCGCTGCAGAGCAGCTCCAGGGCTCCCCCGACCCGGCCGCTCCAGTGGCGGGGTCACGCTCCCCCGACCCGGCCGCTCCGGTGGCGGGGTCACGCCCCCCCGGTCCAGCCGCTCCGGTGGCGGGGTCACGCTCCCCCGGTCCAGCCGCTCCGGTGGCGGGGTCACGCTCCCCCGGTCCAGCTGCTCCAGTGGCGGGGTCACGCTCCCCCGGTCCAGCTGCTCCGGTGGCGGGGTCACACTCCCCCGGTCCGGCCGCTCCGGTGGCGGGGTCACGTTCCCCCGGTCCGGCAGCTCCAATGGCGGGGTCACGCTCCCCCGGTCCGGCGCCTGGGGGAGTGTCCGGCAGGGTGCGCTCCGTGGGCACCGCGCACAGAACGTCGGCCCCGCTGTGGGCCTGGCTCAGGTTGTCGGCCCCGCTGTGGGCCTGGCTCAGGTTGTCGGCCCCGCTGTGGGCCTGGCTCAGGTTGTCGGCCCCGCTGTAGGCCTGGCTCAGGTGATCAGCCCCGCTGTGGGCCTGGCTCAGGTTGTCAGCCCCGCTGTAGGTCTGGCTCAGGTGATCAGCCCCGCTGTGGGCCTCACTCAGCTTATCTGCTTCTGGGGTATCCTGAAGTGTGCAGTGATCCTCTGCACCTCCAGCGGCTGACGCACCCACGATTCGATGACAGCCAGTAGTCCCACTGCTTTTGCCTTTGGCAATCGGAGTCCTAGTGACCATTCGTGGAGTCTTAAAACCATCTGCTTCAAACTCTCCCGCTGAGTTTGCGTCAACACCATCCTCTGAGCCCGAACGCACTCGGCCGGTCTGACACGCGCCGAGGCGGCGGCTGCTCTCCTGACGGAGATCGGCAGCACTGGGGCTCTCCGCGCGGCCCGGGCGGAGGCTGTTCTCCTGACGGAGATCGGCAGCACTGGGGCTCTCCGCGCGGCCCGGGCGGAGGCTGTTCTCCTGACGGAGATCGGCAGCACTGGGGCTCTCCGCGCGGCCCGGGCGGCGGCTGCTCTCCTGACGGAGATCGGCAGCACTGGGGCTCCTCCGCGCGGCCCGGGCGGCGGCTGCTCTCCTGACGGAGATCGGCAGCACTGGGGCTTCTCCGCGCGGCCCGGGCGGCGGCTGCTCTCCTGACGGAGATCGGCAGCACTGGGGCTCTCCGCGCGGCCCGGGCGGCGGCTGCTCTCCTGACGGAGATCGGCAGCCTCTGGGGCTCTCCGCGCGGCCCGGGCGGCGGCTGCTCTCCTGACGGAGATCGGCAGCACTGGGGCTCTCCGCACGGCCCGGGCGGAGGCTGTTCTCCTGACGGAGATCGGCAGCTCTGGGGCTCTCCGCACGGCCCGGGCGGAGGCTGTTCTCCTGACTGAGATCGGCAGCACTGGGGCTCTCCGCACGGCCCGGGCGGAGGCTGTTCTCCTGACGGAGATCGGCAGCTCTGGGGCTCTCCGCACGGCCCGGTCGGCCGCCTGCCTCGTCATCGACGCTGGGACCGCTGTCGTTGGTATTTGCGCCGGGCTGACCACCGCAGCTGTCTGCTTCCGTATCAGAGAAATCGCCGCTCTTCTCGCAGCAGATCTTTTCCGAGACCTCTTGGCAATGTTTCTCCTCAAAACTGCCGTCACCAGTCACGTCAACTGTGCTCACACCGGTCGTCACCTCTTCACACAACTGAGCTTCTTCACCTTCACAGTCTGCCGCGGGAGCCGCTGCAGACGTATCGTCCAGAGCTTGGTCCCGCAGCCCCAGCGTCTGTTCAGAAACACCGCACTCGTCGGCCATAGCCTCAAGTTCGCTAACTAGGCTCCTTCTCTGCGAAATAGAACCAGGAGTGCTCGCGTACACCGTGGTAACCACCTTGTCCGAGCGATCATCCGGCTTCAGCTGGGCCCTGTTGTCCGATGTGGAACACTCTGCTCCCTCCTGGACGTCTGCGTGCCCCAGAGCGCGCCTCAGCATGAGCATTTCCTCTAGGTCCACCGCCAGATCATGATCCAACGCCTCAGCATAATCCAGCATCCCTCCGCGGCCCAGCGCCTTTTCGTGGTCATCCGCCTCAACATAGCCCAAAACGCCATCGTGATCCGGCATCTCACCACGGTCCAGCACTTCTTTGTGGTCCAGCACCTCGTCGTGATGCAGCGCCTTGCTTTGATCGGGCGTCTCAACACGGTCCGGCACTTCTTCGTGGTCCAGCACTTCATCGTGATCCAGCACTTCTTCGTGGTCCTGCACCTCGTCGTGATCCAGCGTCTCACCACGGTCCAGCACTTCTTCGAGGTCCAGCACTTCATCGTGATTCCGCACCTCGTGATCCAGCGCCTCGATTTGATCGGGCGTCTCAACACGATCCGGCACTTCTTCGTGGTCCAGCACTTCTTCGTGGTCCTGCACCTCGTGATCCAGCGTCTCACCACGGCCTAGCACTTCGTGGTCCAGCGCCTCGTCGTGATACAACACCTCACAGTGCAGTGGCTCGCTCTGGTCCAGCGCCCCGTTGCAGTTTGTATCTGCATCCTCAGAAGGGGCACTCAGTGAGGATATCTCGCCCTCCTCATTCCACGCCTCCACACCTTCCGCCACACCCATCAAAGCTATCGGAGCGCTGCCACTGCCCTCGGCGCCTGCGTCCGCCGCGCGGCCTCCGCGTGCGCGGCCTCTGGCTAGCCGGGGCGCCTCCCTGCCAGAGTCCTCCGAGTCCCAGCTGCCTGCCAACTCGTCCTCCGAGGAGCCGTTCGGCCGCCACGCGCCGCCCAGCTCTTCAGCCTCGCGAGAAGCCTGGGCGCCCGCCCATTCGTCCGTCAGACGGCCGGTGGACTGGGACGAGCGGCACGTGACGAAGCTCAGCGGCGTGCCTGGCGCCGTCTCTGACCGGCCGCCGGCGCCACCCCGCGCCGACAGCAGCTCCTCCGACGAGGAGTCCGCCTCCGCCGACAGCGCACCGGCCGCCGCCCCCGCCACCTTTGCGCCGGCCACGCGCGGCGGGCCAGACGCACTGGCATCCGACAGCCAGACGCGCGAGGCGCCGTCCAGGCCACCGGCGGCGCTCGGGAACAGCTCGGTGAACAGACGGCCCACGCAGGACAGCACGTCCTCCTCAAACCCCAGCAGGTCCGAGCCGAAGTCCAGCTCCACCTCGTCCAGGTCCGGCTGGGGCTGCAGGCCCAGGCGGTCGCCGGCGGCGAGCGGGGGCGCGGCCTGAGTGCATGGCCGACGGTCCCCACCGCCGCCGGCGCAGCCAGCGGCTGGGCTGAGGGAGACGGCAGTCGGGCTGAGGGAGACGGCGGTCGGGCTGAGGGAGACGGCGGTCGGGCTGAGGGAGAGGGCGGTCGGGCTGAGGAAGACGGCGGTCGGGCTGAGGGAGACGGCGGTCGGGCTGAGGGAGACGGCGGTCGGGCTGAGGGAAACGGCGGTCGGGCTGAGGGAGGTGGCGGTTGGACTGCGTGATGGGCATATCGAGCTGGGAGAGGCCGGGTTAGATGCAGATGCATGCTCACACGGACCCGGAGACGGCCCCAGCTGTGCCGAACTGGCATACTCCGTTACAATGACGTCATCCAGTCCGGGAGGAGAGACGTGACGCTCCTCAGCCAGCTGTATCATGCATGGATCATCGGAATGCACGGACGTCCCCGCACCCTCCGCCTCATACGGAGCCGCTGACATCGGGACAATGTTTTGCTACCTCCCAAGATCCAGGAGAGGATGTATCTGAATTGTCTTTACCCTCCAGCGCAACAGGATCATCATCGCATCCTCCAGAAGACATTTGAACCTCTTCTCCGCTTTTTAACTGGCAGTGATCAAGGGACGACAAAGGCATCCCGGTATCTTTCCCTTCTGGATCTTCTGTTCTAGAACAACCACACGATTTCCGGATTTCTTCCTTAGGTTCTACGTCGTATTTTTCATCAGAAGCAAAAGGCATCCGAGCACATTCTATTCCGTCATCTCCTAACTCCTGACATCTCAAGCCTACCTCGCCGGCTTCACTTGACCCCTGGGCGCCAGGATAAGCGACCGCGTCGGCCCACTGCCGACCGTCAGGGTCAACTACGGTCATCCGAGCCATTGCCTCGTCTAGACCGCATTCTAACAAGACTGCTCTGGAAGCGTTTGGCACGATATCGCGCTCTTCCCTTGTAAAAGTTGCGTGGTCAGTACTACTGTTGCGCATGTCCACATCGTTCATATCCTTTGCCGAGCTGTTGATGTACTTGTGCTGGACATCGACGTACCCAGCTACAACATCGATGTCATTGTCGTCACCACCGGTTTTCCCATCCTCATCACCAGGGTAATTGTCCTCACTGTTGCCTGGCAGGTTATCCTTATGTAAGTCCGCGTCCTCATGATACTTGTATCTGCTATCGCGATCCGTGTTCTTACGCGCCGCATCTGTGTCACTGTTCTCGTCATCCGTACCCTTGTCATTACCATCTGTGCTCCCATCATCAACATCATCCTGGTTCTCTCCGTCATCAGTATTATTATCCTGGCTATCGTTCTCAACATCAGTATCCGTGTCTTCTTCGCCGGTATTCTCGTACTCAACATCGATACATTTGTCTTTATTAAGAGCGTGGTCCTTTTCATCGTTATTTTTGTTCTCGCCATCAATACTCGTCTCATCCCTTGCACGCGTACTATTGTCACCAATCTTCTTGTCTTCGTCAATGGTATGCTGGTCTCCATGATCTGCGTTCTGCTCCTCATCATAGATTCTTTTGTCCTCATCAGCATTCTCGCCATTACCGTAGCTGACGTCCTCACATTCGCCATTTCGGTCCTCATAATCAGTGTAGCTGCCAGCGCCATAGTTGGTTCCGTCATCACGATCGGTATTGTCTTCACTATTCTTGAGCCCGGTATCACTATCCGCGTTTTGGTCCTCGGCGGTGCCAACGTCTTCGTCACGAGCGTGTTTGTTATCCTCAGCGTGCCTGTCCTCATCGGGACTGTTGTTAACGCCATCGCCTGTGTTTCTGGCCTCACCACAGTCGCAGGTATTACCGTAACCGGCGCCGCTAGCCTCTCTACCCGCATGCCGCTCCTCACTATCGGTGAACTGGTTCTCAGCATCGACGCTCTTGACACCAGCGGTGGGTTCGCCTCCACTACCAGTGGGTTTGTCTCCAGCATCGGTCCTCGTGTCCTTATCATCGGCATTGCTGTTTTCGTCATTCACGTAATTGTCAACGTCGGGGTCACGATCCCCGCCATCTGTGCTTATATCAGCCCAGTCCGCGTTACTGTGCTCACCATCGACGCACTGGTCCCCATTATCGACCCACTTGTCCTCATCATCGGCATTCTTGTCCTCATCAGCGATGTTGCTAACCTCAGCTTCAGCATGCACACCGTCGCCATCGGAGCTGGCGTCTTTGCCATCGGTGCACTCACCACCATGCGTGGTCTGGTCAGCACCGGCGTTCTTGTCGCCACCCACACCACTGTCACCATCGGAGCAGGCGTTCTTGCCATCAGTGCACACGCCACCATGCGTGGTCTGGTCAGCACCGGCGTTCCTGTCGCCACCCACACACTCACCCTCACCACGGCTGTGTCCACTCCCGCCCTCACTGTACATATACTCAGCATCAGTGCTAATGTCCGCACCATCAGCGGCATGGCATTCGCCCAAGGTGCATTCGTTGTCAATACCAGCGTACGCAGCTTCAACGTCGATGTCGTTGTTCTCACCACCGATATCATTGTCATCGGAAGTGGTATTCTTTTCCTGATCACCAGTGTTGTTGTCAGCACCAACGGACCGCTCCCCACTCAAGAGGTCCACTTTCTGTTCGGTGCTTTTGTCGGCACCGTAGACAAAATCGACATCAGCTCCGGTTATCTGGTTATAACCACCACTCTCATCGTTCTCACCATAGGTGTTGTTGCATTCACTACAGGGGCTCCTTTCCCCACATGAGCACTTACACTCAACACTGACGTGCTGTTCATGATCGGTGCCCTTGTCACCGCCATCACCATTTCCGTCCTCGTCACAGACCCTCTCATCAGCATCGGCGTCCTTGTCACCGCCATCACCGTCTCTGCCCTCGTCACAGACCCTCTCGTCAGCATCGGTGTCCTTGTCACCGCCATCACCGTCTCTGTCCTGGTCACCAAAACTATCGTCAGCATCGGTGTTCTTGTCATCGCCATCACCTTCTCTGTCCTCGTCACCGACCCTCCCGTCAGCATCGGTGTTCTTGGCACCGCCATCACCGTCTCTGTCCTCGTCACCGACATTCTCGTCAGCATCGGTGTTCTTGTCCTCGCCATCACCGTCCCTATCCTCGTCACCGACACTCTTGTCAGCATCGGTGTTCTTGTCCTCGCCACCGGCCCTTTCGCTTTTATTTGTGTATATCTCTCCGCCAGATTTGTAGTGGCTACCGGCGGTGCCCTTATCCTCCACATCGATACTATGGATGTACTTACGCTCATCATCGACGACTTTGTCCTCGAGAACCATACCCTCTTCCTCCTCAGTTTCTCTGTCCTCTCCTTCAACCTCATCGCCCTTATCACCAATTTCCTTTCCCTCACCATCTGCGTACCTCCTCCCACTATCAATGGCACAGCCTTCCCCATCGTTGTTTTCGTCACCATCACTCGTACTGCGACCTTCACCATACGTGTATCTGTTCTCATCATCCGTGCGCTTGCCCTGATCTATTGCGTTTTTGTCATTATCGTCGACATTCTCTGCCCCAACATCCGTGTGCTCTCCTCCAACATCGGAGCACCAGTCATCACGGCCTGTGCGCTTGGCCTCGCCGTCAGCGCGCCAATCTTGGCAGTCCTCGCAATTCTCATCGAGCACCCGCTCCTTTGTCTCCGCTCCAGTTCCGACAGCGTGTTCGTGTCCATAAACACCAGAGTCGGCTGCGCGCGCGCCAGATCGGCCGGCCTCTGGGAGTGCGGGAGCTGGGGGCACCTCCGTCGCCGGCGCGCGCCCGTGGACACCGAGGACCGCTGGCACACCGGGCGACTCAGCGTCCGCACCCGCCGACTGTCCGTCACTCTCGCAATCCGAGCCGATCGCGTCCATGTACAAACACGACATGTGCGCACCGGCGGCGTGCGCCTCTCGGCTGGAGGCGCTGGCTGAACGCGGTCCGTCGCCAAAGGAACACCATTCGGTGCTTCCGGAGCGTTCTGCATGCGACCCATCCGTGACACTAACATGCAAATATCCTGGATCTTCAAATCCCACACCACTGCTGCTCTGGTTTTCACACATATCGAACGCAGACTCACACTCTATGTGAGCTTCAGGCGTTTCGCTGCCTTTCCACAAGCTCTCAGTGCCGTCGTCTGGTTCACACAGCACGTGTGCACATGCATCTCTTTTCAGGCCACCTTCCGAAGCCGAGCCCAGTCCACCAATCACCGTGCCAATCGGCCGATTCACCAGGTCACCCCGGATCGACTTCTCCAGCATTTCCACGGCCTCCAGCCGCGCGTCCGAGTCCAGCATGTCCGTCCAATCTCGGCGCTCGACCTGCGAGTCGACGGGGTCCGGAGGCGCCGCCGCGTCCCCGGTCACGCGGCCTGCGCCGCCGCCGGCGCCGCGTGCGCGCGACACCACGCCACCAGCGTCGTCTTCCGACCGTGCCTGCCCCGCCAGCGCGCTGTCGTCCCCCGAGCTCCTCTCAGCGTCGGACGCGTCGGGGCTGGCCGTGGCCCGCGGCAGCCGCGGTCGGCGCCGCTTCCGCAGCAGCTGCGGGGGCAGCATGGCGCGCACAAAGTCGCACTCGGCCTCGTTTTCGCTTCCCGACGGCTCCGGCGGCCGAGCGGACGACCGGCGCGGGTCACCGGCACCCCTGGCGGCGCGGCACCCGCCCGGCGGCGGGGCGGCGCCCACCAGCGATGCCACGCACCGCGCGCTGCAGTCCTCCACCCCCTCACTGCCGACGGCCGACTCGTCGGCCAGATAGCCCGGGTCTGACTCGGCCAGACTCTCGCCGTGGTCCGGATCGCCGGCAGTCCCCTCCAGCTCGCGCTCGGCGGCGCGCTCGCCCGCCGAAGGGCAGGGTTCAGCCTGCGGCTGGCCCGGTACGAGGGGCGAGCTGGTCAGCAGCGCGCCGCCGGCACCGCCGCCGCTCGGGGAGCTGGTGCAGGTCAGGTCGGCGCCCGCCACGGCCGAGAGGTCGCACAGGGCCGTGACGAAGCTGCCGTCCGTGTCAACGGTCATCTGGTCCGCTGCTCCGGGATTTCCAGCCGGCTGCGGGCTCCGGCTGACTTTATTGACTGGTTGTGGAATGTCCGGTTGGTATTCTTCGAGTGTTGTAACTGGTTCAACGCTCGGCTGAACATCTACGCGAGGCATCATCTCCGCTTCAGCCCTCAGCCACGCCCGGACCTCCCCTTCTCCAGCCTTCACCACCGGCCCGGTGCTCTGCCCGGACGGGCCTCCGGTCGGTGCCCGCAGCGGCGACGGCCACCCGGCGTCGACGGTCGTGCCGCGCTCGCGGCGGGAGGCGCGCGGTTCCGTCTGCGTCGCAGAGTGCTGCGTGATGGCCTGGCGGCGGGCGGTGGCGCTCGTGCCGCGTTCCGTCGTCCACGGCGTCCCGACCACGCGGAACGCCGTCTACGGGCACGAAGCAGCCCCCCGTCAGCATAGGGCGGCATCCACGCATCGACAGCGGACGGTGCATGCAAGCCAGTGCAAGGACAATGCTCGAACGGCAAGCTGAGGGATCGCACACACCACTCCGCTATGTAATTTACCATTTCGAGTGCATGAGAGTCTTGTCTGACACGATCGCATGCACTTTTAATAGCAAGTTCAGGCACGTAATCTGAAAATAAAAGCACATGGACCGCATCTTAGTCTGCGACATGCGAATATTCTGAATAGTGAGTCGTGTTACCGAGGAGGACTCCTGAATGACGGTCCGCAGCGACTCCAGCCAGTTCTCATATTCTTCTGCTGACTCTGCAGCCAAAGCGACCGGCTCGGCTCCCTCGCATTCCACCATGAACGCCATCTCCCGGTCGCAATCAATACTAGTGTTTAAGGTGCAGTCCGTCAGGCTCAGTCCGGCCAACGGATGAACATCCTGAGGAAAAGGTGCCCCGGTGAGTGCTCCAAGAGAAACATCAGGAAAACAAACAATATGAAACTGGCACGGGATGCCAAGCCAACGCGAAAGACTAAGGCCTGTCGGTCAGCTGCTTTTTGTATTATAGTGTATGCATTTTGTGTTGCCAACAAGTTGTTTCTGTCCGATTTTGTCGACCCCTCTAAAGTTATTGCCGATCACTTAATCACAGTGCCCCGTTTATGAAGGCTTTCTTCCGATCTCGTCTGGTCGAGCCTTCAAATCTCGTCTGAAGCCTCGGTGTTAGGTTCGAAAACTAAAGGTCGCAGCATATTTTGTAATCTGGGTGTCTGTAGCATCATATCATGTATAACTATCCGACACCAAAAGCCAGCTACCCTTTTTTATCGGACCATCCTTACCACACCAAAAATGTCGCCGGTTAGGGTTTAGCTATCCGGTTGAAAAGAATATGTACTGACCAAAATGATTACATGAGGCATGAGATTTGAAAGGTAGGCCTAAAAAACGGGTTATCCTGACAGAATGATGATGACAACTTCAGAAAGGTGGCCAAACTGAGCGTGAACTTTTTGGCAGCAATACGCGAAGCAAGAGCGTCAAATTATTAACCATAGACGCATTCGTTATAACCTATCCTAGCCATCTGTCCAACACACCATAGACACTTAAAAATAAACAACACGTTTGGATGACTCCGAACAGTTCAGGGAAGTACTTACCAGCCAACCCCTGCTATTTTACCAAAGGGTGAGGGGGAGGGGGGAAGGGGAGCAGCCCTGAAGGATATGTGGTATCCATGGTAATGTATGCGAGCATATCAAGGAGACAGGGAGCTTTATATACCCGTTTGGTATGCCATTCCTCAGCCATCAGAACAGAACAGGTGGACTATCCCAGATCCAGACACTTTAACTTGCTGAGCCACTCGATAAGCGATGTTAAATTTGTTGGCTTGGAGAGTGCGGAGTAAGTGTATTATATAGTGGCTCAAAGAGGGAAAGTGAACTGATGTGCCTGGGAACATAACATCTTCAAAATATAGTGCACACGATGTGTCACAATGTCGCCTAGAAAACAGAAGTGACCTAGGGAACGTTGTACCACAATTTATGTACATGTGTCGATTAGCATAATTTACGACAGCAAGTGAAAATAACTACTTGTCCTGACTGATGCAGGTTCAAAAGTACTTTACTGACTGGACAGAGCTGTACATGCTGTAATGTATATATATATATATATATATATATATATATATATATATATATATATATATACGAACTTCATAGACGCCAAGAGCTGGTGACCTTATCAATAGACGCCGGGAACGCAGCAGCGTGCAACGCGAGCCTCTTCGAGAATGGCTGGGTCAGTCGGTCTGCGAGCGTGGGGCCGCACCGGCGTGACGTCAGCCGGACGTCCGTCAGCGTGACGTCACGCCTCTGGGAAAGGCCGGCGCATTCACCTCGGCCCGTTTGAAGAGGTAGAGCGACGCGTCCGCCTTGAGCACGCCCCAGCGCCGGCACCAGGCGCCGGCTGAGCCGCTGCGCCGCCACAGCGGACCCTGGCGCACACAGCTCCAGCTCTCCGGCGTGGCCAGCACGCTGGACGTGCTGGCCACCTGGCGGCGAGTCGGACAGCAGGTGAGGGCGGCCCAGTCAGGTGAGCCGGGCCTCCGCCCGCAGCCGAACGTCGGCCGCGCGAGAGCGCCGAGCCCCCGGCAGCGTGTTCGGCTCCGTCTGCTGACGAGCCCAAGTCTACACAGGGGCTGTGGCAGAGCGCGGCGGCCACAGACGTTGGACGTCCGCCAGACCCAACAGCCAGGGCTGAACAGAGCCGTCCCTGTGCCGGCCTGGACGGGATTCACGCCCAGCTGCGGTGCAGGCCGCACTAATGGCTGCAGCCGAGAAGCGCAGCCGTCGGAAAACGACAGCTCCCGTAACATAGCCGCAGCCAATCAGGTTTCAGCCAGCAGTAGCGACCACAAAAACACGTGCACAAGGCCATCGCTGTCGAGAGCCGCCCGCAGGTTGAGCATGCTGCGCCGCCAGGCGCGCCGGCGGTCGTGGTCTGAGGTAATCACGGCTCGGCTAACGTAGCCAGGCAACGCTGCTGTAACGTCGCCGGGCGTCAGCCGCGTATGCCGGATAAACTGACGATCGGAGACGAACACGAGCAACCGCAAACGAAAAACTGCACTCGCATCATTATCACTGCGTCTTCCGGCGAGGTAGATCACTGCCGTAACGAGCTTAAAAACAGTTTGGCAGAGCCGACACCTTCGCTGCGTTAACATCAGGCTGCTTACAAGCGCACACCGGCAGCATCCTGCTCGGCCAAAAACATCCCACAACCAACCACCCAGATGCGAGATCGACCGCGCCCACCCCCTCACACCCCCTGCCAGCGCCTGCAGTTCGCTCACCTCCAGTTTGAGCTGATCCGAGCCAGCGTGAGCGATCTTGACCACGTCGCCGTGGCTGGACTCCAGCACCCTGTTGCCGTTGATGGAGATGATGATGTCGCCCACCTCCAGGCCTGCAGACGAAGCCGGGGCCCCGCGGTTAAGCCAAGGCGCCACGCCCATCCGTGTTCTAACACGCCCGGCGCCGTACCATGGACCAGCTGAGATTCAGTGTGCTCGAGAGGCCTCGAGCACGACCTCCAGAATGTGCGCTGTTTGGGAACGTATTGCCTCGCGTACATTATCATACAACATAATGGCCTAATGTTAAATCGAGCCTAAACTGTAGCCCATGCGCGCACACCAGCCACCGCCAGGTCTGTGGGGACGAGGCTGAAGTCCCCTCCCCCCCCCCCCCCCCCCCCCCGCTCAAAGTGCACAGGCCCGACGGCTCGGTTTGCATCCGGCCAAACGCGCAGACAATATCAGAGTGGTGCCGCGCCGGCCATGCGAAGCGGCGTTCTGGCCGCAGCGACAGCCACTGCGGGCCGCCACCAGCGCGACCGACACCAGCGCGCCGCAGCGACCGCCACTGCGGGCCGCGACCGACACACCAGGCCCGACACGAGCGCACGTCGCCGGTGCTTGGGGTGACGCACGGCCCGTGCTGCCAATTCGCTGAAGTCGAAGTGGTCTGTGATCAGCAGGACGACCACGACCCCGAGCCAAAGGTCACCGCGTCATGTCAGGGCCATGTGCGTCAGCGGCCTTAGTTAGCCGTCGTGCCCCGCACGGCAACTAAACTGACGCGATTCGAGTTCGCACTGGTTCCCGCCAACGGCATGCAGTTGCACACATGAGCTCTCCTGCCACCGATCAGAACGCCGCAGCGTCGCTGACAGAGCATGGTTTCCCGAGGCGCGCGGCCACGGTCGGCGGCCGGTACCGCCGGCAGCTCACCAGACAGCCGGGCCGGCGTGCCCGGCTCAATGGCCGACACCACCACCGGCCGCGAGCCGTGGATGCGGAAGCCGAACTCGCCGCTGCATTTCTGCATCACCACGCTCTTGTCGCCAGCTGCGGACGACACGCCCGGGTCAGAGCAGGGACGAGGTCACAACAGGCGAACAGGTCAGCCGCCTACTGTGTGACACAGACAAGCACGTGTTGCATAAGATCGGCGGGAGCCTAAAGTGTCGCAGCATGGGAGTCTCGCCAAGATCACATAAAGGCAGCAATCACCCCAAAGGTTGTACTAACTTGGTTGGCACACGCTTTCAATGCCATTCCGGGTCACTGGGCGTTTCCAAGGTTCAGTCTGTACGCGGCCGTTTCCAGAGCGCCACAGAACATGTCTTTCAAGATCATATGGGGTTTGTGTGCGTTCAAGAGCCGCAGAAACGCGTGCTCCTCAGCGTGAAATGACGTTGGCGGGCGTCGCCACGCCTTTAAATGTTTTCCGTCTCACCCGATCAGCGGCCGTGCCACCGGCCCGTTATCTCCGGCGGCCAGCGACAGGCCGCCCCCGGGGGCGGCCCAACAGGCGACTCCCGGCGCTGCGCACCCCCATCACACGACCCCGCGCGCGCCCGCCGCAGCGCCGGCCGGCGGCGAGACCAGGCGCGGCGGGGCTAGCCGTAGGCCCGGATTTCGGCGCACGGACTCATCATCGATTATCGGCAGCTCGCGGCCGCTGCCCGAACACTCGGCATGCAAACAGAGCGTCGTCAGCGAGCCGGCGCTCGGGCCGTGTTACCGAGCGCGCGCAGCGGCCGCAGCAGCGTCCGGAGAGAGGTGTCCAGGCGCGCGCAGAGCACCGTCGTCTGGCGCAGCGTCGCCGCCAACCGGCCCTCCAGCGAGGCCGGCTGCACGCTCCGGTCTTCAGGAGCGGGCCGAGGGAGAGGACGGCAGTGAGGCGGGAGACAGGAGACAGGAGACGGGAGACGGGAAACGGGAAACGGGAGGGAAAGGGGAGGACGGCGTGGACGCCGGCCTCGGCGGCATCTCGGCGGGACAGCGGCGCCACGACACTGGTGCCGGCGGGACGGGAGAGGAGGGCAGCGCCGGTGCGAACACAGGCGCCACCACACTGGTGCTGGCGGGACGGGGGAGGAGGGCAGCGCCGGTGCGAACGCCACCGGCGCCAAAACACTGGTGCCGGTGGGACGGGAGAGGAGGGCAGCGTCGGTGCGAACACAGGCGCCACGACACTGGTGCCGGTGGGACGGGAGAGGAGGGCAGCGCCGGTGCGAACACAGGCGCCACGACACTGGTGCCGGCGGGACGGAGGAGGAGGGCAGCGCCGGTGCGAACACAGGCGCCACAACACTGGTGCCGGCGGGACGGAAGAGGAGGGCAGCGCCGGTGCGAACACAGGCGCCACGACGCTGGTGCCGGCGGGACGGAAGAGGAGGGCAGCGCCGGTGCAAACACAGGCGCCACGACACTGGTGCCGGCGGGACGGGGGAGGAGGGCAGCGCCGGTGCGAACACAGGCGCCACGACGCTGGTGCCGGCGGGACGGGGGAGGAGGGCAGCGCCGGTGCAAACACAGGCGCCACGACGCTGGTGCCGGCGGGACGGGGGAGGAGGGCAGCGCCGGTGCGAACACAGGCGCCACGACACTGGTGCCGGCGGGACGGGAGAGGAGGGCAGCGCCGGTGCAAACACAGGCGCCACGACACTGGTGCCGGCGGGACGGGGGAGGAGGGCAGCGCCGGTGCGAACACAGGCACCAGTGACGCCGACAGGACGGGACGTACGGGCTAGTACTTTGTAGCATGGGGCGTGCCATGGGGCGTGCCTTGTCATAACAAACGCAACGAACAAACTGAAGCCACGAATAGCTCATGCCGACGCCCGCACGTGTCACGGTCACGCGCCGCACAGCTGCTCCAGCTTACCACCGCTCGTGGCGGGACAGCTCCTCCGAGTCAACCTACCGAAGCTCTTGTCCTCCATTTGCTTGAACATGTGGCCAGACGCCTTGCGGTGCACCATCCTGTGCGAGATGGCCTGGTAGCTACGCCGGAACTCGCGCTCGCTCTCCGTCGACTCGACCGACGGCGAGCGGCTCAAGGTCGACTCCGGGCACGCCTCTGTCGGTGAGAGGGGCCACGGGTGTAGTAACGTGGGAAATCCAGCCGCTTGGCCAAAAGGGGTCCTTGTCACCACATCCGGCGTTTCCGCGAGATGGAATCAATGGCACGGGCTGAGGCACAGTCGAGGGTGAACAGGTAGAAGGGACGGTAGAAGGGGGGGGGGGGGGGGGGGGTACATATAAACCTCTCTGAGTCCCCATCAGCACGGACGAATGTAAGTGTCCCACCTCATCCCTTAGCGGCGTGGTAGGAGGGGGAGAAACTGTGATGAACGATGAACCGTGATGAGTTTCGGAAAGCCTTAGAAAATTGCGAGGAAGGTGTTCCGTGGGATACCGGTTGATATGTTCTCCACGCAAATTCTACTCCTACGTTACTTCCTCAGAGACGAAGTCATGGTAAGGCCCACGGAAACGCGCCATCTCAGCCCCGCCCCCCCCCCCCCCACTCTGAACAAAGCGTGCTAAGCTAGATAATTGGCGACTACGCAGGAGTTTGGTAAAAATCCGCAGGATTTGGGAGGAAATTTGTCATTCCCCACCCTGTAAATAATATGTTGGCCACGTACCTGCCCTATAGCGGGACAAAGAACAGACAATCCTTACTTTCCACCTGGTCAACGGATGTCAACGCACCAACTGTAGGACACGGATCCTACGGTCCAGTCCAACGAATTGGTAGTTAGTTGACAGTCCGACAAGCAAAATCCACGCCGCGGGCACAACGGGTTCATGCGATGACGGCATAAAAAAACATTCACGCGTTCCGTGAGATGGGTTGAGATCACTGCCATTGGCCAGATATCACGAACACCCTCATCCCAATGTCGCAGGAGAAGGGTTGAATATAAATGGATAGTTTTTGCTTCAGTCTTCCAGCCAAAGCGTGTGCTGACAATTTTCAACGTGCGATCGCAACAACTTGAGAAGCCCGTCTCGTGCCAGTCGAACCCCTTTAGTCAGTCAGTAAGCCATCTTTGATGAGTCACGTGTTGTCATATCTGGTTTGTCAGATGCCATTTCCGGAATGCGAGCCCACAAGTCTGCACATCCGCGGCACAGCCGAACACCCAGTGTTCACCCGGGCGGATGAACCACGGTCGGGCCAGACCGCAGTCCTGGGCGCCGCCGAGGCCACGGGCGAAGCCAGGATTTGTTTAGCGGGGGGAGGGGGGGGGGGGCGAAGGCTGGGGAGTATGCATCACTCCAGTCTTAACTTTTTGTGGGGAGCCCTCTATAAAAAACAAAAATCCCTGCCTCGGGGGAAAGGTCATATCAAGCCCCTGACTCCGTAACACCTGTGCCCCACCATCTTTAAGCCTTGTGGCTGTGCACCCCCAACGGCGACAGCACCGCTTCCTTTGCTCTCTCCGTCTGGCCTCGGATCACAGAGCGCGGTTCCCAACTCGGCATTCCGAGTCTGACAGCGCAAATTGCATTTCGCTCAGAGGAGTCACAGTTCGCTGACTGGCTCAAGGTTGCTCATTCAGTGCCTGGCTTGTGGAAAAGAGATGGATGAGAAAACACCAGGTCGAGTTGACAAGGGTCCATATGGGCAAACTAAAAGCAAGAGCAGGCATTTCACCAGCTGTATAATTTGCAAACTGATTTGGGGTGAGATACACGGTAAAAAATGACTCAGCCCACCCTAAAGTACGTCAATAAACGGCATTTTAACCGAATTTGGCCAACTTTCTTCTCGCAGTTGAGGGGGGGGGGGGGCGAGGCGTGGTGGGTGATGCCTTTTTTCAAAAGAAATATTATACCATTTTCAACGTAGTTTGCACGCTTTGAACTATCGTCGGTATTGAGCGTTTCAAAGCAATCATCTTTGCTTAACAGTTTGATTCTGAAGTCCTGTGCAACTTGCAAATTTCGCGCGTAGTTTAGGTCCTGACCATTCAGCGGGATTTTAAAAAAAATTATTGGCGAACTGCGTCCTTCGTGTTCTACTATTAGCCGTAGGCATAGCAGACGCTGGAAAACATGCGGCGCATTCAAAATGTACACCATTTGAGCCGCACGCATCGATGCGAAGTGCGAGGCCTACGTCTGGGATACCGAGTACGCGGCTAGGCAGATAATTCATTTCATAATTGGCCTTGGCTTCATAATACTGCAGCCAAACTCACCATTAAGGCTCGCCAGTTAACTGCATATGGTGTAAGTGTTTAGCATTTAAAATCAACCAGCGCCATAACAAATCTCAACTTTTTGCACCGCATTCAGGCTCTAGCCAAAGTATAGGATAAGTTAAACCGTCCGGTGAATATCAGCTCATCTTTACTTAACGTTAGCATGACGTCACTGGTGCCAAAAACTTCAATGCGCGCCGGGCAGCTAGATGGCGGACGTAATACTCGGGGGCGACCAAAACGTCAACATATTTGTACACATATTGAAAGAGCCGTTGACAGACGGTGCATATGACCAGCCAACCCATTACATATAAATTTATGACGAAAATAATGATGTGTTTTGCAAGCCTACGCGGCAAACAAAATACGACGACATAAAAAGTGAAGACGTACGCACGAGACTTATTCGCCATAAGGAGGCAGGAGCAGCAGGCTGCCTTCGTACCCTTGCCGAAAAAACTGCTAGTGGAAGCTGTATATGACAAGCGGGCCGATCATGCAGAATTCATCGACGAGTATGATGAATTACATGGAAACCTCAATCTGCAAGCCATTGCGATGCACCTCGGTCTTACACGGCCTTGCACCCCGGTGACGGGCGTGAGTGGTGAGTGCGGCGAGTCGGTTGTCTGCTGCAGTTAATTTGTCTGTGCTTGATGCGCCAGATGCACGTACTCGGTCCGGGCCTATCTACATTCCACCCTGCTCGGTTTGTACCTGTCTACAAGGATGGCCGTGCTCGGTCCATACCTGCCTCCATTCCGACGTGCTCGGTTTGTACCTGTCTGCGGGGCCGGCCGTGCTCGGTCCGCACCTGTGCGCGGGCCCGATAGCACCCCGTTTCTGCCCATCTGCATAGTCACAGTGAGTGTCGAGCCACGGTGTCGCATCCCTAAGACGCTTAAGTGCGCCGTTACGTTTGACGCCAAAGTGGCATGCAGGCAATGCTGTGTGTGACCAAACCGGGTTGTGGAGCACGATTCGCATATGTGATGCCATTCTTTTTGGCCGGAACTGCGTGGACTGCACAAATGATGAACATCTATGCGTTTCATACACGCATGAAAGACACATTGCAGCGCGATGACACTCGTGAGTGCCAATGCGCTTCAATCATTACATTTGTTCCATCCTCGAGCATAGTTTACGTGGCCACTAACACTCAAAAGCCACGATGATGTGTACAAGACTGTCACGTGTGCAAAGGCTCATGGACAGCACGTGCGCCTATGTGAGCCTGGCTAATGTCGGTCTGTGTCTGGCATCGGTCGGTTTTGTTCAGTCTTCCGTGGCAGTATGTGTGCCTCCAACGAAAGATGACCTTCCATTGTTTGATACAGCTTCCAGCGAAACACTGTGCTACGTACCTCGCAAAACATTAAGATCATCGATCAACGTAGGATGCTAGTCGGCTCCTGCACAGGGTGAGGGGCAACCCAAGTTCTCTCGAGTTAAGGGTAGGGACGATAGCCATTTTGGTTACTGCTTTTCAGTCCACGCTGCTGAGGTCAACTCATTTTATTTTGTAGGAAGTTCGGGGCTTATCCTCCTCCCTAGTATCCGCGCTGCTGCGTAGGCGCATTCCTTTCTCATACCGATCGTATTATAGCGGCTCTGCTTAACACACGCCTGGGTGGGGTTGGATACCCTTCGCTCGGATGGGGGTCAATTTGACCCCCTGAGATCTCCAGAACTAAGCAAACTAGAAACACCAAATTCACAGGGTGTATTGGCCCGTACCTGAACTCACTCAGGTAAAATTTTGATATGCTTAGGTCATGACCTTCGGGTCAAATAAGGTTAAACAAGGTCAATCTCCGCGCTGGTCTCCCAAGTGTCCCCAGAACCAAGACACCTGTGGTTGGGAAAACGTCACATGTTCATTTCAGGTCATTGTTCCTGTTTGGCCTTTCGAAAGTCATAGTGACCGATATAATACAATACTGCTTTGAGCCTTGCATTTGAATAAGCGACAAAGGTTACGCTAGGCAGTATGTCCTTAAAAACTAAATGTTGACCTGGGTCATTTTAGATCAGTGACTTATTCTGACATTTAAAAAGCCCATAGAAAATGTATAATACGGTTCCTGCTTTTAATAAATTCGAAATGAGTACCAGAGACTACCCTATACAGTCAGCCCTAGAGTAATAAAGCAGATTGGTTTTGACCTTGGTCTGACCGCCAAAACTCACCGTAGATCAACGCAATTTGTGCATTCAATTGTTATGTTACCTAAGAAAGTATCTCAGAGATATACAGCTTCGTCTAACACTCCATTGCTGCATCAGATTGAACTATTTCCTGGAAACTGACATCACAGAATCCACGGCCTGACTTTGATCTGTCGTAGGTCAGCGACCTTACAGGGTACATATAAATTTCTGATACCAAACGATACGCTATTCAATTATCTACAGCTGCGCAAAATCGGGCAGTTCGTTTTGAAACCATTTCGGAAAAACCTTGGGGGGGATTCAATTTGACCCATACCCGAGCGCGTGTTACTATAAGATCGCAAAGCACATGCTCGTGCTCGCCATCTAACTCTACCTTTACAGGTAGAAAGGAAGCCCGGTGTTCAGGTATCCCACTTCCAACGGTCAGCGCGTGCACGTTTTCGCTTTTCGCGCGGATTGCATTTTAATTGCTACGCATGTTAACATGCAATCAGCACATCATCACATGCCCCAGCAAATCATAAGCGTCGGACCCCTTGGTTATACGCGCATGTCCCCAACAATTTGATCACTACCCGTACGAAGGCTGTCTCATGTCCTGGTCGCCCATCTTTGCAGCAGTCCTCGCGTAAGAGTTTTGCATTTCCACGTCGATTGCAATGTAGCGATGGGCTACACAATATTGCAAGGCGCAACATCATATTCGGCTTAAATTTCAGGCGATTAAATTGGCCATAGCAACTACCGCTTGCAGCTTCTCTCGTCACGTCGTTCTGACTTGAACGGTCTTTGGTGGGTTTAAGTGTATGTAATCCCAATAATGTTCCGCTGATTTGCTTCCAAAGTTTATAAAAACTTAACCTACGCCATGCCTTTTCCGCGAAAGCCTGAACCCAGCTACTAAAAGCCTGAACCCAGATACCAAAAGGTCCAGCCCCTGACCGTCCTTGCCGCAAGTGGCCGTCTCATGGCTGTGATATTCGCGGTCACTTGACTTCCTTTGACCGTTCACCGAGTTTTGCCATGACAAAGCACTCAAATGTCATGCTGCCTACAGCCCCTCCAATCAGAACCATCTGAACATGTCGCCGGCCTATTACGCTCTCCGAGCTCGCTGAAGATTTTGGGCCACCTGGGTGTCTTGGTAATTGGTATCTCAAACTTTCTCGGGGCATCGTAGCGTCTCCAGTCCTTGACCATTTCGGGACCAATAAAAGTCTCTGAATACTTTGGAGGTGTGATGAATCTATGACAGTCATCGCTGAGCCGGTGTTTTTGTGATCACAATCCTGATCGTCTGGAGGCATCCTGACATGTTGCTGGCGGATGACGTCACGATACGCTATGGGTGACGTTGCGAACGGAGCGCTGTGAGTACTGAGTATCAGATCAGTGCCAGCCAACCATACAGCGTTTTGAATGAATTCAAACTATTTGAGACACCTTGACACTGCGCAAGGTAATAGGACACTACGATTCTCAAAGAATCCATCTCATGCATTGCGCTGTTCTTCATGACTGTCGTCGGGTTGTTTCCGTCGATGAAGCCTTTCAGAGGCGCAGCAAAGATCTTATAGAGAGGGGGGGGGGGGGGGGACAGTGAGAAGGCATTGCGCTGTTCTTCAAACTTTCCCCCAGGAGTCAGATATGGTGAAAAATGAATGGTCAGATTTGGCACCCAGATAGCTGCTTTGCCGAGTTCAGGTGCCCGACGAGCTCCTTGCGCTACCAAAAGGTGACGGGTCTTCTGTTTCATGGGACCCTGCAGCCATCGAGGAGCTCTGCGGCCTACAGCAGGGGCCTGCACCATTCGGGGTCACACAGCCTCCAGGATGCGTTGGCCACAATGACTTCCTATGGGTAAGCCTCTGAGGGCGCCTTTACTGTCCCAAAGCAAAAGGTAGGTAACAGAACGAGTTGCTTAGACATCCCAATACAATTATCAGGCGTAAAAGAGATCCGTATGAAAAATAGCGCCCTCTTTCCTGCAACTGAAGCTGACTTGGGCAAATTTGGCCTCGTCCACGAGGGGACTTAACTGTGCGCAAGGAATAGCCCAACATATAGCGCATTCGGGTCCCCGTTAATCCCGGCCCTATAATATGCGACTGAAGTACATCTTCACTTTGTTAATCACCGTCCTAGTGTTGAGGTATCTATGGCACTGTTGTGCATGGAAAACACCCGCATTTTTTACTTTTCTACACGCACGACAAGAAACCCATAAAACCGGTACCAACATTTTGGTATCGGTTTTATATGCTGGGGTGTTTTTCAGGTGTCGGTGAGCACACCTTCAAATGCTTCGAGGGGGGGGGGAGGGGAGGGGAGGTCTGGGAACACCGTGGACACCCCGGCTCCTGATGGGCCAGTGTCCATGACCACGATGCCTATTCACGTGCCATGGACTGGTTTCCGTAGCATAGAAGACTAGAAGAAGACTATATATTCACAAAACATGGATAATGAAGTGGGAGCCTGGAGAAATAAGACAGCGTATAAAACTTCCTTGGTTTGCCACGGTGGAGCTCTTCAGCGGTCTCCCCAAACGAACTTAGCCACGTGCCAACCCCGATTGCTTTTCGGCCACTTGGAAGTTGCATGACCTTTGGATCATCGAATGACTGCTGAAGAAGTCGAGCGAAACTGCCCAGGAGAGCAAGTACCACACGTGGTTCGGCGGCTGCTCGAGCAGCGCGTCAGTCGCCTTCTGGGTGGCGCATGCGCAGTGTGGTCCATCGTGTTGGGCGTTAGTAGCAAATCGTTCCGGCATTTGCGTTCATGTCTAGGCATAGGGAATGCCTGCAAATGCTCCCGCAATGTTCAGACGCATCCGCACCTAAGTAGAGCGAGGAATGAGACCATGGACAAGTCACTCCAAAGTAGAACATTAGTTTGTACTGTATTACATCTGAACATGAGATATCAATATCTTGGGGACATCAAACCACGCCATTCAGTAGCCACATGTGTCTGTCCATGTTTGTGGGGGTAAATTCCCACCCGCAAAAGTTTTCCGACGGCGATGAAGTTCTGGGCTCAATCACCAGGTCACGACTGCGCGTGTACGAACCATTCGACGATGGATGACTCTACCAAAGATATACAAATATTTCTCCCTGCTGCAAAACCCAGTTCATGAGCGCGGACCAATTCCTGCTCGCCTGACCCCAAACCACCTCCTGATTCCCGCTTCCCGGACTCCGAATCGCCTCCTGATGATGATGGTTTGGGCTTTAGGGCGCGCCGACCACAATGGCCACATGGCGCCCATGACTGGTCTGCTGCTCCCGTCTCTGCGGACTCTGCCTCGCGTCCTGATGGCCGCTCACCTGGCTGGGACTCGCATCGGGGCTTCTTGCGCCACACCTTCATCTCCTCGTCGGCGCCGATGTACAGCCAGCGCGCGGCCGGGAAGTGACCGGCGTACACGCCGCCCTCGTCCTCGTGCAGCTCACGCATCGAGATGGTGCTCTGCGTCGAGGCGTCCGTCGGTCGAGACAACGAGTCCTGGCTGGTGCGTGGACTGCGGCAGGTCAGTTCAGGTCAGGTACGATCAAGTCAGGACAGGCCAGATCAGATCAGGCCCGGTCAGGTCAGCGCTGCGTCCAGAACGCTATTACAGCGGGATCTTTTCGAAAATAAGTGGGGCGGAACACACTGGAATCTACGGTGAATACTTTCCACACAATTCTCACAAACCCAGGAAACCATTAAGAAACAGCACGGACCGAGCCTTTCTAAATGTGCCCGGCTCCACCCAAGCACCATCGATGGGAGGTGGCCCGGCCCTGGCAGCACGTGGCAGCGCTCGTGAGCAGCAAACGTGACATAAGGCGGCTGACCGGCTGTGATCTACTCTTAACCAAGCCGGTGCGTCCGCTGCGTCATGGCGTAGACAGCAGCAATGAACGCTTAGCTGAAAATACCCGGGAAGTGATGAAAACCCACGCGAGAGCCGGGCCACATACGTGGGAATTTGGTCTACCCATTAGTTGCTGGCGATCGGAGAACAGGCCAGTACTATTTGCCGTGGATGGCTGGGCTATAAACGGAACCCGATCGGTATCGCTCCCGCTCACGTGATGGGATCCCCTCTCGTGTCATTTAACTGGAATCGGACGATCACCGTTACTGCGATGCTGTCGGGTACTAGGGCCACCAAAGCGCCAGTTTTCTGAAGTTCTCGCCACGTTAAAAGGCCGTACCGCTGCAAAACTATGTCCGCGTACGTGAAATTTTAGAATTGACCACGCGGCGGGGTTGAAACGAGTAAACGGCAGCGAGGGAGAGTTAGCCGGGAGACGGCACAATAAATAGGCCACATCGTTTAGGGGTAAACTGTTGCGCAGCCATCTAGTTCAGGGCGGACCAAATCCGCATAAGATATGCCTTGACATCCAGTCTGACTCGCTCAGATACCGTGTGTGGTATAAGGCACCTGAAGCGCTCCATTGCGCAGTACTCGACGCTAGCATAGACAAACGAAAGACCTATCCCCACAATTCAGAGCGCGACACCTGCTTAAACGACGCCCCTGTTGTTGTCTTCGCTGCTAGGGCGTGACAAGCAGCGATGCCCCTTGGATTCACCATAATTAAATGCATACATTAACGGTCGGATCCCTCGTGTCACAGCGTAGTTGGCAAGTGAAAAATGCTTCGCTGATCCTACGCCGTCACCACATCCTTGTAATTGCGGAAGTGCATTACCAAATGTTTAGCAGCCCAACAAAGCTCTTGCAATCACCCTAAAGTGGCGGAGGTTGGTAGTAAATGTAGCGTGTCGAGCACAAAGCGCTCGGTCCATTACCTGACCGTTTGCAGCGGGTCCCTGGTGTACCGCTCCTCGGACTTGGCGCGAGCCTGGGTGGCTGGGCGCGGATCCAGCACGCGCTCCTCCGACATAACGCGGTCGGCGCGGTCCGCGCCCCGCCTGCGGCTTGAGCCGCGGGACGTCTGCCTCTCCCTCGCCGCCGTCCCCGGCTGCAGCTCTCTCGCCCCTTTCGACGGCCCGCCGCCCGCTGCCGCCTCCGGCCGCCGATGTTCCGTCGTGTGCGGCTGCTTCGTCCGCTTCCCCGCCTCCAGCGGCTGCTCCTTCGGCACCAGGTCTGGCTGCGGTCGCCCGACAGTTGAGTCTCTCGGCTGCTCTGGCAAGTTCTTCTTGTGTCGTTCGCTCTTGGCCGGCTCCGACAAGGTCGGCGCGTCGACCTCCCCCGGCCGCGGTCCCTTTTGCCTGCCCTCCGCCGGTGACCCCTCCCCCCGGCCGACCTCGGCCTCGCCCTCCCCGCCGCCCTCTCGCGGCGGCGTCCTCTCGCGGGATGTGCTGCGCGTGCGCGCCGCGTCTGGCGTGCGCATGCGCTCCCCGCAGCTGGAGCATTGCACCGTGTCGGGCGGGTCGGAGGAGAGGGCGTCCAGCCGCGCCAAGCGCAGCCCGGCCGCACCCGGCGCCGCGCCGCCCTCCTGCCAACTCGACGCGAACACGTTGTCGCTGCCCGGGCTGACCGAGCGCAGCGACTCGGCGCTCGGCTTGGCGCTGAGCAGCGTGCGGTCCACCATGTCGTCACCCAGCGCACTCAGGCGCAGGTCCCAGCTCGAGAGAGCCGGCTTTTGCTCCGGCCCGCGCGCTGAGAGCGGGTCGACTTCCTCAGTGGCCACCAGGTCCGACACCGTTGAGCGACGCTTTGGCGATTTTGACGAGCGCTGTTTGGTCTTGTCCCTGTTTTTGGTGCGCTCGCGACTCCGACTGCTGGACTCCCCTCGCGAGGCGTCCTTGTCGCGGTCCTTCGACCGCTTCTTGTGTTTCTTCTCTTTGTGCGGTTTGCGCGCATCGCCGCCGTGCTTCTCCGCCGGACGCTCGTCAACCTCGACGATCTTCTCAGGTGTTTGTGGCGTGCGCACCACGCTCCACTCTTCGGGCCGGAAGCCCTCGTGCATGGCCGGACTGCGAACCATGCCGCTGCTGACGCCGGCACCCTTCTTCGCCCAGCGCTCCTCCAGCTTCGCCGGCTCGGCCTCGGCCGGCGGCGGAGCGGCAGCGTCCTCTGCCGTCCGCTCGTGGTCACCGGCCTCCGCCGGCCATCCACTGACCATCTCCTCTGCCAGCTCGAGGCGCACGTTCTTCCGGTCGCTCTTCTCGGGACGGCGCCGCTGCCGGCCGGCCGCCGGCTCGGTCTCTGCCACGCGGTACATGGTGGCTGCGCCCGGCAGGTCCAGGCAGAGCGCACGCGCACCGCGCTGAGGCTCGTCTACACTGAACTGCTTGGAGAGCTGACGACGCGTGCGAGACCGGTCCGGTGACGGCGACGGCGCCAGTGCGCCCGGACCCTCCACCTCGACCAGCTGGCCCGCCTCGTCCTCCTCAAAGAAACGCGAGTATCGCTTGACGGCCTGCTGTCGGCTATGTTTGCGCGGGCTGCCGGCGCCGGGGCGGCGCTGCACGTTGTCCGACGGCCCGCTCGCGTCCGACACCTCGCGGTCGGCCAGCGTCGAACTCGACGCGTCACGGTCCGCCAGCGTCGAGCCTGACGCGTCGCGCCGCGAGCTCGCGTCGGAGCAGAACGCCGCCGATGACACGGACGAGAGCGACTCGACGCGCGACGGCGGCTGAATCGGCTCGCCGGCGGCGTCCGCCGGCAGGCAGGCAGCGCTGGCCGGTCGCTCCGGCTCCGGCTGCAGCTGGAGATCGCTCGGCGGCGCCGGGGGCCGCGGCCGGTCCGGCGGCCGCTCAGGCTCGCTGTCTGCCGGCTGAGTCAGCTGATTGTCAGGCGGCCGCCAGGGCACGGCCCGAACGACCTCAGACGCGCTCGCCGGCCGCCTCGGGTCGCACTGTCCGTTCACTGCGACGGGGTGGGGTCTACCAACGACGGCGGGCGATACGGACTTGTTGCGCTCGTCCGATTGTCCCGTGCTGTCGCTCTCGAAGCCCTCGTTCAGCGTCATTAGGAACTTCTCCATGCGCTTGTCGTCGTCGCCCTCGCTGACGGATGACACGTACGAGGGCGCCGGGCTCGTGTCCTTCCAGCCCTCGAGCTGCGGCGGCGGCGGCGGCGGACTGAGTCGACTTAGCTCCTCCGGCGAGGCCAGCCGGTGGTCCAGCTCCGAGCTGATGGCATCCAGTTGGCGCAGCACGCGCGCCTCCTCCCGCGCTAACGACGGCTGCGAGCCTGACGCCGAGGACGGCGCGCCGTTCTCCGGCTCAGCTGCTGGCGGTCGCGTCGCCCCGTCCGGAGAACCGGAGCGGGAGCGGGAGCGGGAACGGGAGCTGGAGCCGGAGCCGGACGGCGGCGGTGGGCCGGCGCACGGCGTGCCCGCCTCCGAGTCGGACGGCAGCGGCAGCGGCTGCGGCGTGGTATCACCGGCCGCCTGCAGCACGGTCTCCTGCGACTCAGTCAGGCTGTCTCGCGTCAGCGTGGAGCGCGGCGGCGAGAGCGCGTCTCGGGTCCCGGCAGTCGCCGCCTCGCCTGACTCGCTGCCGCTTGACGGCGATTCGGCGCGCGGCACCGCCTCGCTCAGCAGGTTCTCAATCAGGTTCTCGTGGAACTCGTCATCATCGTAGTCGCGCGGCGGCGGCGGCGGCGGCAGCGGGGGGAGTGGCGGCGACGGTGGCAGATCGGGCCCCAACCGCTGCACCTGTGTGAGCGCGCGCAGCCGGCCGCAGCTCGGCTCCAGTAGGTCCGACTCACTCACGGTCAACTTCTCGATAACGCTCTCTCGCTGCCCGCCGAGCCCGACCAGCGAGACCTCCACACAGCCGGTGGCGAGCCGTTCACGCGCGCGCCGGTCCAGCAGAATCTCGCCCTCCGAGAGTGTCTTCTGCAGCGGGTGCTTGCGCTCGCACGGCTTGTAGTCGATCATGATCTCCTGTTGCGACGGCGGCCGGTCGGCGCCGGTAGCGGCCGCGCGCCGCTCGACCGGCCGACGATTCGCCGCCGGCAGGCTGTCCGCCGGCTCCGCCGCCTCGCCAGGGTGGATGTCGATCGGCGAGGAGACGGCGCGTGCCATGACGGGCTCGGCGGGCGGCGGACGCCGTCGCAGGTACGACGGCCGGCCGCCCACCTCCGAGTAGCTCTTGGTGAGCGCCCGGTGCCCGCGCCTGCGCGGCTGCGTCTGGGCGCCCTGGGACCGCAGGTGCTGCCGGCGCGGAACACGGCGTCATGAGCAGACACGGCTCGCTAATGTAGGGGGGAGGGGGGGGGGAGATACACGATAACACTGAACCGAAGTTCATGCGACACCTATGTCGAATGCGAGGAACATGTAAATTGGCTGAAACATGTCGTGTAGATGACACGTGCTCGTGCTCCGTTTTGACGTGGGAGACTGAGCCTCATTAGCTGTCACCTAGATGAACCCTCTTCGGCTCACGAAAACCGAGAATTCAAGTGAAATGGAAATAAAGCAGAATTTGTCATGCATTAAGGAACGGTCCCAAGCTTAAGATCTCAATTTGGAAATGAAGCGAGTTTTCATCCCGTGCTTTGCAGGTTTTCAATTTCGAACACAGGATCTAAGGAAGTTTCTCGAGTGATCAAACATTTGCAGTCGCTCCAGATCACGTAAACCGCAAGAAAACATCTAAACGTATCCATCTGCACCGTCAGTTCCTTGAAACTCGGTAACGCGAGCTCGGAGTTGCTGGAATTAGAACCTGATATAAGCAAGAAAGGCCTTCAGCCCCTGGTTTTTCGGCACTACACGCTCCGAGCTCCTCTGCTAAGATATCTAGTTCCAATGCACCAGGAAGATCTGGCTAAGCGACGTTAGAGAGCAAACACTGGCTCCATTAACAGCGCTCGACGTTTCAACGCGAGCCCGGGTGGTCGATTGAATCCGACGCGCTTGGGTGGGATGGGGCCCATCTGATCTCCCTGAGATCTCAAAAACTAAGGAAACTGAAACAGTAAATTCACGGGGTGGGCGGACATGTATGTGAAATCACTTATGTCGAATATTGATATTTCTAAGTTATGGCCTACGGGTCAGGAGCTCAAATTCCGGATTGGTGTCCAAAATGGCCACAGACCTCCCCTCAATCGCCTTGAAACTAAACACCTGTTCTAAGTAAAAGTCATCGTTGTTCATTTCAGGTCAGTGACTTTGTTTGATCTTAAGAAGGTTAGGATGAAAAACTAAGAGACCGTTTTGATGTTTGTATTTAATTAACCGTCAAAGATCGCACTAGTCGATATGTTCCGAAAACAAACGGTCGACCTGGCTCATTTTAGGCCAGCGACCTTCTCTGACCTTTTATATTTTTAAGAAAGATGTCTGTCGCAATCTCTGCTATCAATAAATTCGAAATGAGCATCAGAAGTTACCCCATACAGATAATTTTTCAACAAAAACATATTTGTGTCAACCGTCGTCTGACCTTAACACCTGACCCAAGGCCGATGGCCTTTGTCACAATAAAAATTTAAGTGTTTAACTGTCTAAGAAACAACATCAGATGTTTCATACGGCTTTATCTAACTGTTGTCGCATCAGTTTGAGCGATTCCCTGGGTCTGTTTTCTCCGACAACCCGCGTCCTGACTGTGACATGCCATAGGTCAGCGACCTCACAAGGTACATGCCGTCTTTTAAATCAAAAGACCCGCAACGCCACTTTCTACAGCTATGCAATGATCGGCGACGCTAAGCCGCGTCATTCGGAAATATTCTTTCAAACCGCTCGTGAGGGGGCGGGCGGTCAAATTGATTCCCCCCCCCCCCACCCCGCCCAAGTACGTGCTAAGCTTTGTTTATGATCATCAGTCAGCACTATCAATATCATCAATGTATGATCTAAAGCGTCATTTAAGCATTACCTCTCCGCACCTCAACACTTCTACGACCCAACGTCCCAGACGCGCATGACAGTCTGAAGAATGATCCGTAGTGCTGATGCCTCTTCTCAATCCTTCCAGTAAGCGGCTATGCGAAAGCATTTTCCCAAATATTCTATGACAGTAAGACTATCTGTGCGCACTGCGGATAAGCATTGCTACCACAAAGCCAACTCGCTGATGCAGAAGCAACTGCCCAGTGACCGTGTCCGCAGGGGGGAAACGGAAGATGGCTGGGGGTTAATCGTAATGCCGATCGTCGGGTCTCAACCTTCCGTTGGTGTTCGCTGAAAAAGTGTGCCACCGACGCGGTGTTGGCGGCACACGGCGATCCCCGCGCCAGGCGACAGCCGACTAGTTTATTTCCGGCCCGTTTCCGACGGGTGCGCGCGCCCGGAAGCGGGCCACGGCGCGCGAGCCGACCGGCTTATCGGAATCACATTGTGCCGGCGAGTCCGGCGCCGCCGAATGGCTCGCCGCCTGGCCACCGGAGGCTGGGGACGCGGCGAACTGCAGCGCCGCCCAGGCTGTTTGGACTGGCTGAGCAGCTTTCACAAAGGCTTTCAGACGACTTTAGGCTCTGTCAGCATAAGTGTTGACATGCCAGCATCAGAAATGTGAACGCTGCTGAAAGGGAAATATTTCGCAGTTCGCCATTCATCTGCCGCGCATAAGCTCAAAGGACAGGAATGAAAGGCTTTTTGTGTCACAAGAACAAACATCAGTGCCCGTGGGTTGTTTTGATGGCACAGATCATGAACAAAATCATTTGTGTTATCGTAGTCGGAGTATCCGCATTCATTTGAAGACTGCTCAGTGAGGCACAGCTCTCCCTGAGCTGTATTCTTTCCGTACTCTATCTGAGCTGTGTTCTGTCTGAGCTGTGTTCTGTTTGAGCTGTCTCCCTGAGTGAAAACATTTGTGTCGTAATTGCTCCAAAATCAAGTGATCACGACGCATCCGGAGCGCAAGGGCAAGTACAAAAGGATGAATATCAAATCAAGAGTAATCATATTAGAGAACCGTGTTTGCCTTTGGATGCACGCAGCTTAAGATGGCTGACATCTGCGGCTTAGTCGGCTTAGAGTTTCAACAAGCAGTCATTCAGAACTCCTTTAGATTTTTGACAAGGTCGTTCATCTAAGCGAAATAAATATGGTAATATGATTAGTGCGCCTACGGCCGTACCGAACATACTGAATCCTGTCAACAGCTTGTGGCTACAAGTGGAGAAGGAAAGAAATATAGGCCACAAGAGCATCCGAACTGGCGTGGGGCAAGCCGCGAATGCCAATGAGCGCCCGAACGCCAACGTTCGTTTACGAGTACGAGCGCGCGCGAGTGCACAATGCTGCTACGGGCTTCTAAACATACCTTGTGAACAGTCCTTGGCGACAGGGACAAATAGGACGGCGGAGCGACCTCCACTGCAGCATTCGCTTCAGTCTGAGTCGACTGAGTGCGCATTGAGGAGCGCTTCATCTTCTCTGAAAGGCACAGCAAATTCCAGTTGCGGTGAAAGGCAGACTTAATAATAAGTCTCGGAGCATGTTGTCCTTGTCGCAATAACACACTGCACAGCCAAAACACACATTAATGATCATTGTGAATGTGACTCAGGTCGTGTTGCGCAATGACTCGGCACTGAGCCGAGCCCGGCAGCCTCTCCTGAAGCAGCCTGCAACTTGTGCGTGCGTGTGCGTTTTCCAAAACGCGTGTTCAAAGTGCGTTTTCAGTGACGCTGGGTTTGGCAGAAAGGACGGAAGTCGACCAGGCGGTCCACAGCCTAGCCCAGGCCACCACATAAGTCTGCTGACTGCCAGACAGCCCTGAAGCAGCTGACTGCCAGCCCAGCAACCGTCAGAGGCTGACGGACAGCCCCCACGTCATCATCTGCGTCGAGGCCTGTCTGTGAGCACTGGCCCGGACGATCCGTTGCCACGGACGCGCCGAGCACCAGAATCGTCGATTCAGCCAGACCTTTGTCCACCGTGTCCGGCTCAGCGACTGCAGGCACTACTAAGCAAGCCACTGCTCCTACAGCCGTCAGCATCAGTACGGATCAGCCGGCTCCGTCCTTAAATCCACGACGTCAGCCATCCACACAACGACCTGAAACGGAGCCGAGCCCGGCGGAGCGCGCGCCGAACCCGAGACAATCCCGGCGCCTGGCCCGGCGTAACCGCCGAGGCGGCCGGCGCCGACCACCAGACGCCTCGACCGTCTACATGAAAATCGATACCGCAAAGTAATCTGCCGGCCAGCCGTTAGGTACAGCGGGCTGCGCTGACGCCACAGCGCCGCGGACGGGTACGTCATCACCGGCGCCGCGCGAACGGGTGACGTCATCACCGGCGCCGCCAGCGGGCCGGCTGCGAGTCTCGAGACACGTCTCGGACACGGCCGTGTCCGAGACGCGTTTCGAGACACGGCCGCGTCCAAGACGTCGGACGGCCATCGCCGCCGTGGGGCAGACGGTTTGCTCTGCCGCGGCACTCGTCCGGAACGGGGCCCAACAGTGCGGCGGGAGTAAAACAGGGCCCAACAGTGCGGGGGAGTAAAACAGGGGTCAACAGTGCGGGGAAGTAAAACAGGGGTCAACAGTGCGGCGGGAGTAAAACAGGGCCCAACAGTGCGGCGAGATAAAACAGGGTTCAACAGTGCGTCGAGAGTACAACAGATTATGGACAGTGCGGCGGGAGTGAAACAGCGCCGGTCAGCCGTGTCAGTTCGGCTGAGCTGCGCTGGAGAGCGGTGTGAGATCTACTGATTTGAGGTGGGAGTGGTGTGAGATCTGCTTATCTGAGGTGGGGAGTGGTGTGATATCCGCTGATCTGAGGCGGGGAGTGGTGTGAGATTTGCTGATCTGAGGTGGGGAGTGGTGTGATATCTGCTGATCTGAGGTGGGGAGTGGTGTGAGATCTGCTGATCTGAGGTGGGGAGTGGTGTGAGATCTGCTGATCTGAGATGGGGAGTGGCGTGATATCTGCTGAGCTGAACTGGGGAGTACCGTCAGCTCTGTTGAGGTGCGTCGGAGAGTAGTGTCAACTCTGTTGCGGTGCGATGGAGGGTAGTGTCAGCTCGCTAAGCTGGGCTGGTGAGTGGTGTCAGCTGTTTTCAACTTGTTTTGCTGACGCCCATCCCCAATGAGTTCAAAGTTGTGCCTCATCCTTTTCAAACTGCATCGGACTAAAACAAAGGAGATACGCAGACAAACAGGTACGTGGGGTAATGGAAATGCACTGTAGAAGATAGCACGCTACACGCTGCGGAGGCAGTGCCTGTTGGCAGTGAACCTTTCATATCTGCACCAAAACGGAAGTCGCCAGCAGGTTCATTATAATGGCAGTGGTTTGGACAATGCGGCGGCCAACGTGTATGGAGGCCGTCAAGGAACGAAGCGCGTTGGCACTGGCAAAATGGCGGCCGAATACCTTGCAGAGAGCCTTTGTCAAGAATGGTCCAAATAGGTTGGAGCCCTCATCCATGTAATCAGGCGTTCGCCGCCCGTCCAGCAGTCTCTCCTGTAAATAATCGTACATGTGGGTTAGGTGGCGGTGGAGCGTGCCTCTCGATATCTTTCAAAACTATACACACTGCTGTTTGACTTCCAATTGTTCCACAATATGTTCAATGCGGTTCGCACCATTCACAACATGCCATTTCACCTAATCATTTTGGGTACCTTACTTTGTTAATTAAATCCATGCCATTTTCCTTCTACGCAGGAACGAAAACAGCTGCGTCTATAAACCAAATATCTGTGCTATGTATGGTCATCTACCTACACAATAAAGGCTAAATGACATATGACAAATCACTGTGCGGGTTTGGAAAAATGGCTCACTAATTGTGAACTTATCCATATTGCGTATGACGCTTAGACGATACCCAAGAGGCCCGAGCTATGGCATTGCTTTGTCACACATTGTGAGAGAGCGGCGTTGTTGCTGGCTTATCGTGCCATGTGACGGCATGGGTAAAGGCTTTCTCCCTTTGTCGAAAAGGGGAACGGAGCAATACGCTCTCCGCCTTTCTTACGCCTAAGTCAACGGATATTTTCAGTGTCTGTGGGTCAGTTACTGCCCATTCCTATGAGGCCACCGAGCAACTTGTCAACAACTTAACTCTCGGTTCAGACGAAACCCAGGACCCAGGGCATTGCCAGACAGAGACAATGACGAGCGCGAGGACAAGGGCGAATACAAGGAGACGAAGATAATTGGGAATAGAGCAGAGGCACAGGAGAAAGAGCGAAAACGAAAGAGGTGAGTTGTGTGGGTCAGAACGTCGCCAGTCTGCGAGACGTCATTAGCGTCATTAGTGCGAGCAATGTCATTTGCAGGAGACATGTCATGAATGATTGGGAGCCGTGCTTCAGTAGGCCATGAACTCCCCATCATTAACGAAATGACTCCATATTGACAGAGTTCGAGGCTGAATCGCGAATTGAAGCACGCGACCGCATACTATCGCGTGCAAGCCTCGGCTAACTGATAAGAATCGAATCCGGATGACATTTCGTGCACAGGGCGTTAAATTAAGAAGCTTCCAAGTTAAACCAATTCAACCAAGAGCTGCAGGATAGTTCTCTCTATCAGTTACATTTCAACTATAATTTATACCCGTTATCGAGGACAGCCTGCAGCTGGTCATTTCTCTCCTCTAAGATCGGTAAAAAAACTGAGCCGGACGTTTGCCACGTATTTCCTGATATTTCCCCGCACCAATCGGATCACAACTGGTTGAATCAATGGCTGAACCAACGTCCGGTCTATGCTGAGCTGAGGAGCCGTTGGTGTTATTCATACCAACAAATTCGACATCATCAGTAAAAGGTGGCCTGGTCCGGTTAGGTGTCTTTTTTCGTCATAAGATACAGCTCCTCGTGTTGCCGTCCAGTTCCTTGGGTGTTTTTCAGCATCGCCTCCATGGTGATCGGTGACACCTGTCTGGTTCGCATGATCTCAGTGACTCAAGATCACCTGGCACTGCCGTACCCAACCATTGACCAGGACTGCACACAGTGCACGAATCTTAGTCTGTGGTGTATCTAAGCAGTATCGCAGAGCACGCATGTCCGCATTGTTCAAGTGCTTGGCCAGGCTTTCCTCTGATTGTGAAACGCTCGCGAGTGTTGCACGTAGCCTGATTATCGTCCGTCACCCCTCTCAGGCTCGAGTCGGACTGATGCGTGCGCAGGAATTGTGAGCACGCCCAGCCGGCCCGGCGGCAGTCGCCGCGGGCGCTGACCACCGTCCCGTGGCGGACCACACGGGCGTGTGATAGGTGCGTGTATGCAAGCTGACTTATGAGTAGTAGTTCACCCGAACTAAATGTTATGTCGTGCCTGCCTGAGATAGCAGGGACAGGACACCATTGGACTCGGTCCAATACAAATCGCCGAGTCCCAACACGTCTCTCCCTGACCGAGCTGAGCCGAACCGCTGGGCAAAGACATCACAGGAATCAATCCGTTCTCTAGCCTACAGCATGTTCACGGCGTGCAGCCGTGTCTGGGCCAACAGGTCCAGCAACAAGAACATACGACAGCCAAAGGCAACCACGGGACAATTTCGCTGCGCAGATCAATTACGTTTGAAACTTGGGCGCAAAGTTAGAGAAGCTTTACGCGGTTGATTGGTCTAAAATGCGCCCAGTTCTTGATTCGTATCACATAGGCATACACGTGGGACTTCGTTGAGAAGGGCAGCTGGCCGGAAAGCGCATGGGTGTATGTCATTAGCTTAGGAATTTTGACGTTCACCATAAAGATTTATCCCATTCAAGTTGTTCAAAAGACGCCGCTTCATTGCGGATATTGACGGCTTCCACAATACATAAATTTCTCGGCATTCAGAAGAGAAGAAAAGACGAGCAGAGCACACACAAAAAGAAGCAGCTGCAGGAAGTTCTCGAGAGCGACAACTTCCTGCAGAGAGAGAGAGGGAAAGAGAGAGAGAAAGAGAGAGAGAGAGAGAGAGAGAGAGAGAGAGAGAGAGAGAGAGAGGAGAGAGCTAGAGAGAGAGAG